AGACTCCAACCGAAACGCGGATTAAATTCACAGCTTTATTAATTTGAGATAAAATCAAGTGAGATCGCATGCGCATATATCAAAAGTATATTTCTATAATCCCGGTTATATTAGAACAAATTATACGGCAATAAAAACATTTAAATAAGCATATTACTTTAAAAGTAACCCTTAACGAATTATTCCCTGAAAAAACATGATAAAAATATTTATAGTTTCCTCTCATAAAAAAATACAAACACAAATTTTTATTTTATAATGTTACAAATATCGGGTCACTAACAGGCTGTTATAAAGTGTCTTCCACGTTAATTATGCCATTAAAGAAGCAAGTACGGCTTGGAAGACAAGCATAATTCGGCCACAAAAAGCGGAATACTAATCACTTACGCTATAGAATTATTACACAATACCTATGTTAATGGCTAGTGCCAGTTTCTCATACTGCGTGTTCATAATTTGTATGATTACAAAAGTTCCTAATACTCCGTTCGCAGTAAACGCGGTTAGTGATTAGTTACTTTCTCCGCTTACCTAACAGGCCACCTGTTATTTTAAATACTATCAATTTATCAAAATTATTGTTACTAGCTGGACTTTACGAATAATAATTACGAATCGCAAACCTGTATTTGAATTTACAATCATCAGATTTATTGAAACATATTTTATTCTTGAATGAAACTCAAATAACTACCCGCTTAAAATCCTTACTAATATTATAAATGCGAAAATAACTCTGTCTGTCTGTTACTCTTTTACGCCAAAACTACTGAACGGATTTGAATGAACTTTGGTATACAGATGCTCTAGACCCTGAGAAAGAACATAGGCTTTTTTGCGAAAAAGGGGTTGTAAGGGGTTAAAAGGGGGGTGAATGTTTGTATGGAATGGTGGTTTTTGAAGCTAGAATAGTGAAACTTTCTTCTTTGGCTTTTTGGGAGTGGGAGTGGGAGTAGGGGTGGGGGTGAGAGTGAGAGTTAGAGTAGGAGCGATGTTAGGAGAGAATGTTGCGACAAAGTAGCGCTTACAACATAGATTAGCTGCGATAAATGCGCGATTACATAAATTAATAAACAGCCTAAATCCACGCGAACGAAGTCGCGGGCACAGCTAGTATAAAATAAATAAACAAATGGTCGCCAGACAGCCAAAAATGTGAAATAAATACATTTAATTTTCAGTGAATGAGAGTTTTACATATTATTTTAATAAATTACTAATCGTTTAAAACACGAGACAACGGTTTAAAAGTCGTGGTCAAGGGGAGACTGTCCCCCTGAGGAGGCTGCTGCAAAGCATTAGAAACATCGGGCCGTATTAAAATAATTTTCGAATAAGTTTAACTAATATAATGTCGCGTTTTCAACCGTTAAAGTGTTTTATTTTTTGCGAATAATAATAACAATGATTATTATTTTTAAAAATTATATAAATAGAAAAAAATTTCGACTCTGGTAGGATTTGAACCGGCATCGTCAGCGTCCCGTGCTCTTGCTCTACCAATTGAGCTACCGAGTCCTATTTTTTCAATTTACTTTCGCTTTTTAAATTATATAGTGCCTGCATGTGCAATGACATTTAAAAAATAATAAGGTTTTCAAATAATGATTATTGTTATTTGTTTCACTAGATAGTATCGTATTATATGTAAATGCCATCAATTCCGACACTAAACGATCAGTTGAATACAGTTAAAAGCTTGTCAATACATAACACAACCTTATTTTATGTGGAGGAATCTAAATGTGATGGAAGGCCTGTCAGGAAATTAGTATAGAGTCCATCGTTACGTGAATTTTCTCTCTATAAAAGGTATTGTCCATTGAAAACCTAATGAGGATATAGCCGGCGGAACCTCAAACGGCTTTACCAATGAAAATAGCGAACTGATAATAAATGTAGAGAAATATAAATATATTTTAGTAAAAGGCGGCTTTTTCAAACAGTTCGAAAACGAAGTTATAAGGATAAGCAAATTAATTGAAAATCGTTTAAAAATTGAAAAAAAATTACGACACGGACAACACTAGAATCGGAATCCACAGCGTTCCGTGCTGTTGCTCTAACCAATTGAGCTACCGTGTCCTAATGTGAATTTTCATTGAAATGCACCCTCTCGCGGCTGTGAATGCCGGTTCAGGTCCTGCCATACATTTTAATTTATATAATGCCATCATGTGCAATGAAATGTGAAAAATACTCAAGTTTTCAAAAGTAAATTACTCAATTGAAGAATAGATCAATAAAACACACTTATTACTTTTATTGAACACCTAGCTGAGGTTGAAACTCTTAATTATTCAATATTCAGTTACGCATTGTCCTAGTTGCATAGGCCATAATGTTTAATGATCTATTATTTTCACATAACACGTAATGCATAAAGAGATATTAACATACCTATATATGGAGGTGATAAGATGGTAGAAGCAGAGGTCTCTAGCTTTAAAAGAAAGTTTTACATGATTAAACATACTGTCTGAAGTTCACGCGAGTAGTACACATTAAAATAAAACACTAACGGTTTAAAACGCGAAACTTCGGACCGTAGTTTAAAATAATTTTCAAACAAGTTTAACTAAAATATATCATAAGTGTTTTTTCTTATAATTCAACATGTATACTATTTAATAATAATAATAAAACACCTTATTGCACAAACACATAACATACAAATATATAACTAAATTAATTATTTACATACCCATTATTATATTAAATACTAATAAATAAGATAGTAGTATTTTTACCACAATAAACTTAGCTCCTGTTATGTCATTTTATGGACTCGCTAATTAAAATAATTCAAAGTCAAAAAAGCATAAATATTAGTAGGTATATTGGATTCAATATTCCTTCAAATACCATTCTATATTCGTAAAGGTCTAGCCTAAATTCGTTTGATGGATTTGCGATGGCAATTTCTGAAGCAATAACAGCACGCGAGCACCACCCAGCACCAGGTACCTCTGGTTAAGCGACGCTGCCTTGAGCATGCAACCTTGGTTACTAACAACGTAATGGAATCTCATTATATTTTGATACTTTACTTACTTATATTTTAGGTATTAGTATTCGCACGCATCTTTACCGAGTTAGAGATATAACTTTGGACTTCAAGCTATGAAGATATGTATGTACTCTCCATAGGATTTCTTTTTTTTAAGACAGAGCAGAACAGACGGGCATAGGGTTCATTTCATGGTGAAATACCCCAGCCATATAACATCTAAACAAGATGTGCTGTCCTCCTATTTTACCTTTAGATATTTGAAAATCCACAGTCCGAAATCGAAACGCGATTACACTTTACGGTCTTTTCATCTGTGGACGGTGGTGCTTCATGACCGGAACTGAACTTTGATATTCCTACCACCCTTTATATATGAGTCGTCCCGCTGCTGCAAAGCATCCGAAACGTGGGGCGGGCCGAAGTTTAAAATCATTTTTCAAATAAGTTCAACTAATATATCGCGGTTTTAAACCGTTAAAGTGTTTTATTAACTTTTAATATCCTGATTTCCAGACATGTTTCAGAATTGTATGTTAAAAAATTAGAAACATACGACTTGGTGGGGATCGAATCCACGACCCGTTGACTATTAGTAGTACATTGATAGTTGATACCATTACACCAACGAGCCCGTCGACAAATTATGCTAGCATCATTGAAAAGTAGTCCGAGTATGTACCAGTAACTATAAAACACCGAACAATATTTCAAATAACATACTTTTTACGTGCTTATTTTAATTGTAGATGTTGAGTTTTTACTTGGCTACTGTACTGTAAAATCAACTAACCGATTTAAATATTTAAAACCTTATACCTAATTAGATTAACATACTCTAGCGGAACTTGTTTACGTAACGTCGACTGCATTTAGTTCTACACGTCCGAAAACAATGAGCTTCGGGATTTCTAGCCATAATATAACCAACTATTTCGCGCTTCGTGGAAACGTGAGATTAAAAATACAATTAATACGTGAATGATTATTTCGCACAAATTAAATTGTGTCAGAACTTAGATGGCTGCTCCACATAGCATTGTTTACGTGGGACTGAGACGTTATTGTTCAAACGAGTGAACTGTTGATAAAATAGAAAATGCTGAACAATGAATGTTATTTTTTGACTTCCCGCGATCAAATACGGAATCGATGTGGATTTTGTGCATGACTTTGATAAATAGTATTAAAGATTTCAAGTGAAGTTAGGAATAAATATATTACACAATCTTTTATGCTTACAAAGTTTGGATGGCTCAACTGATTGGATTTGGTGCTTATTAAGAATGTAATTAGTAGCTATTGGGGACACAGATAGAAGAATGGGTATTCAGATTAACTGCTGACCAATCATCACCTATTTCCCCAGCCCACCTTATAAGGATGACATTGGGTTATTCGACTCTTATTGTGTTGCTCTTAAACCTCTAAGCTTCTTTATCCATTTAAGTTGGTAGTGTGTTCAGTTTGAATTCTAATCCGTTAAATTAGTAAACGTAGAATGCAGAAGTATTGTTTTCAAGTGCTATATTGAATTATAAATTTTATTAAGTTGAGTTAATAGTTTTGTTAAGATAGTATTGATCCATGAATTTACAAGGTAATTTAAAATAAGTACTGTCTTTAAGTTATTTAGGTATCTATTAAAAACAACTTACTTTATTAAATGAAAATGAGGCAATAACCACATAGAAAAGATTTTCATAGATTTTTAAGTTATTAAAGTAAATGCTCTGCATATTACTAGATAAATAAACACAAATTTGTGTTTAAATAACGCAAACCTTTAAGGCAAATTGTCTCTAACATAGCTTTAAAATATTATAAGTAGAAGGTGTTAAATTTGTTCTGCTATAGTTCAATTATAACATTGTTAAACGGTAATGGTTAAACTAATAATAATTTTCAAAATACCTATATAAGGTTATGTTAATTTCTTAAATGTAATCAAACAATATGTAGACTTGGCAAAGAGTATAATAATCTTCTAATCAACAAAATAGGTAATTTTCTGGTCTTCGTTGTAAAAGGGACTTTTGCTTGATTTTGGTAGTAGTCTGTATTTCTTGGTTAGAATTAACTTGCATGGTAGATGGTAAAGATATGGTTTGTATTTGTTTCTTGTTAAATCAGGAAGTGGTTTGGACTGAAATGTGAGATTACAGTTTAACAAATACCGACAAAGGGTAAAGACTAATATCATTAAGTTGTTAGGTCTTATATGGTAACCAACATATTGCTCTAAAATTCTCAGTGTGAAATGTAGGGTTGTGTAAACTGAACTAAGTTTTTTAAGACAAATCTGTAACACTTACCGCATTATAGTTGAAGGCTGCAGCTCCTGGCGCAAAGTATTCTCTGTTGATTTTGTCACTCATTTTCACCTCAGGGCAATTTACTTAACAAAACTAAATACATGTTAAAACTTCACTTCCGTTAAAATCCATGGAACAATATCAACGACACTCGGTAGCGTCCGAAGCAACATTTTTACCTATGCCTTTTACTAGTGCTGAAACTGATTTTAGTAACTCGAAATAGATTTTCTCGACAAAAAATCTTAATAGTAAACTCAAATATAAACAAATTCGGATTATAAAATTATAATACAGAGAGCAAACATTAAACAATTATGGCCATGAAGTCAAATTTTTGACAGTGACGTTTCAGTGAAACGTCAATTATAAGAGCCTTACTGATAATTGACTTGTACGATTTGCCTTTCTTTTGGGTATTTGCCACAGATATGAAATACCGCATTTCGCTACCAGCAAATTGATATTTAATCTGTGAAGCTAATTTGCTTTCTATTTATGACTTCTCTTACGTAAATAATAAAAAGGTACCGTACATGACTAAAAAAAAAATCATATCGTTGTAAATAAAATTTATTTTTCCGTAAACAAATATATCGTCATTGAAAAATAGTAGCATTGTTTATGATTTTGTACAAAATTTGTCTAAATAAGGCTGTATATCATCTGCTCCCATCCGATCCCTAATCATTTTAAGAGAAATGGATATCACTTCATTTGAAATGTCCTTATCTCCAGCTACTGTAGACTCTTGGCAATAAAAGCAGTTGTTAAAGTATAACCCCGTAACTCCTTCCAATTCAACAGCCGTTGCGACATAGACTGTAGTGGCAGCGGCTTGTTGCTACAAAACAAACATTTAAATAAAACACTGTGTTGCCAACACAAAATTTAAAGGCTTCTTATGGCCATCATAATTATAGCTCATCAAACAAATTGTATACTGAAACATACTTACTAAGGATTTGGTAAAAGGTCGAACAACAAAGAACAATAAATTATAGAACCACCAGCTCTTGCACAAGTTTGTTGAGACCATATTGCCTGGATGAAGAGAGTTTACTGCTATACCTTTGCTCTTCCATTCTTCTCCTAGTACCTTAAATATTTTATAGAAATATTTAAAACTACAAGTCTGTATAAGTTAGATTCACGTCAGAGAAAGTTAAGTCACTTTTAGAGGCAAAATAAAAATTTACTTAATATTTATGTTTTTGATTTAGACTGAACAATTTTGTAATTAACTTTGCTAAGATTATTTATATAGATGAAAACTTTACCTGATAGACATGTTACCATATAAAAATAGATTAAAGGTTTTTAAATTTAGCTAAAACTAGCTGACCCGGCAAACGTTGTTTTGCCATATAAATAATGTATAACTAATTAATTAAAAATGTACAAAGAGATTGATCAGTTTTCGACCAGAGAGGAAAAATGATTAAATTACTAAAATGGCTATTAATAAAATAAGGGTTGATCGTAGACGGGTGAAATTGAGGATTGTAGTATGTGGAAGAAAAGTTAAAATTTTGTCGAAAAAAAAAAAAAAATACGGGTGGACTACCCCTAACATTTAGGGGGATTAGATGTTGGCCGATTCTCATAGATACCGGATAAGCACAAAAAATTTCATCAAAATCGGTCAAGCCATTTCGGAGTTATAACTCATGTTTGTGTCAGAGATTTAAAGAATCTCTGTGCTAAAAACTTTTTTTTATTAAAAAACTTGAATTTTTAAAATGTCATAGTGTTAACAATGTATTAAATAAATACTTACTCTTGCTGTTATAACGTTGTATAGCTTTGAATTGTTATAAGCTATCATAGAACTAAACCATTCCTTGGGTGATGATAGATTTTGTTTCACGAAGACATTCTTTAGATTCGCCATTCTATTTTGTTCATGTAAACAGTATATAAGTTATGCAAACTTGACATAAAAACATTAATATCTAAGGATGTACACAATTTAAAGTATAAGGGGATAATAAAAAAATATTAAGCCTAACAATAGCACAAGTTGTACCTATCATTTCAGCAACTTTAAATAATTCTTTAAGTAATTTTATCCCTACCGATGCGACTCAGAAGACACAAAGATAACTCTTGACTTTTTCTTCAATAAGGGCTCGAGTAGAATCGCCAAGTACATGTGACTCAAATGATTGACTTGCAGTGTTTTATCAATTTTATCTGCTGTTTCTTCATATGCATGTCCAAAGATTCCAGCATTCAATATCAACATATCCAAATGACTGAAAATGTAATGAAAGAATGTTGCATTACTGTTATCAGTCTTTTTTTATAAGAAACACACCTTCTTATTATTAAACACTAAATATGTTAGCGACTTCGTCCGCATAGAATACCTAGTTATTTTGGGTATCAAAATTTGTTTTAAACCTTTACCTCATCGTTATCATTTATAACTGTTACCCACGACATCAGTTGTGTACTATGTTTCTCTATAAATGCTCTAATCAACACAAAAAGCATGTTTCAATTCAAACCAGTAGTTCCTGAGATTAGCACGTTCAATCAAACATTTCAATCTTCAGCTTTATAATATTAGTACATATTATATTAGTAGGATCATCACTCACTCTGAAAACAAAGCCTTCACAGACAAAGCACACTTCCTTACACTTTGTAAAGATGTCAAGTCTAAATGAATGGATTTTAAATTATCTTCTGAAGCATTTGTTTCCTCAATAATTTGCTTGATTGCTTCTTGAGTTGCCTCCATGTTTCTATTGGCTAGTAATACATTGCAACCATGCCTTGCTAAGGACTTGGCTGTCTCATAACCAATACCAGCATTACAACCAGTGATTAGTGCATATTTTCCAGATAGGTCTACTCCATGTAAGACCTGGAAATAAGATATAGAAAGAAATTTAATATAAGTCTTTATCAAAATAGGTATAAAATGTCTTATGCTCTCATACACATGTAAAAATATGTTGCATTTAAAAGCATTACATATTTTAAATTAAGTAATGTTAACCAAATAAATCTTTATGAACCCATTTCTATGCTCGGCAGCCCATTTCATTAGAGCAGCAACGCTGATCCCTGTGCTTGCCAGGTCAAGACCCGCCCATTTCATATAATTTTTCATCCCCATTACTTTAGTAACTTCAATGACTTATTACAGGTTTTATACCATTCTTAGACCAGCAATAAGACACTGGTGGTACATTTTAGATTTTTAAATATATTTCAATGAATAAAAAGTATTCCAGAATTATATCGCTTATCATTTTAATGTACCTGAAAAGCTGTTGAAGAACTATCAAATCGTTGACGAAAATCATTGGTGTGCATCTTTTCTTCTTTAGCAAAAGCCAATCTGGGATCAATGTAAGTTTTGTTTCCTGTTTCCTTATTTTCATAAACTGTTTTACCACTTTCGTCTACACCCTTAGACCAGCCAAACGGCAAATCTTTAGGAATTACTTTCTTTTTTCCCGTGCGTGGATGTGTCCACTGAATCTTTCTATTGCAGGTACTGGTAAATTATAAATAATTAAAGCAAAGGAGTATGAGCTCTAATGATATAACAAACTTTTACGAGTAATAACAAGTATCAGTAATTGTTATCAAGTGCGCTGTTGTTAATTTTCAGATGTTTAGGCCAATTATGGTTGATGGAAGATGCTTCCTTTTTTGACGTGCAATGAAGGAATTTGGCTGTATGTAACAGTGATAAACTTCATAACTTACTTTATGAAGTAAACGTTCCCATCTTCTGTTGATTTTTCCTCCCAGCCGGGCGGTAATTCGTCTTCGCTATCAGAGTCTATTACGTTATGCATTTAACAATTATCGCAGATAATTATTAAAAATGAATCTTATCACTTTGTAATCACTTTTTTTATCAATTACCATACGAACCTATTAGTATTTTGTACTATGGAACAATTGTATCAACATCAGCTTGCTGTATAGTGTATATACTATATAGGTATTACATTGTAGCTGTAGCTCATTGAAGTGTTGAATGTCAATTGTCAAAATGTCAGATTACTTGGTTTCTTCGTATTTAAATGTTCTATTAAAAAATTTGCCCCTTTACAATTTAACAATTGCTTAAAAAATAGTCTGAAATGAAGTAAGTTACACCATTTAATGCAACAATTTCAGCAAAATTAATGTTAAGCGTTGCTTATAATTTTTTGACAGGCGCTATAAATTTAAAACCGTAACTTTTGAAAAAAAAATTGAAAAATGAGATAAGTAATAATTAATGGCAACACTTGATTTCTTTCCAAATCGTCACTTATGAGTGGGATTGAAGTTTTAAATAATTGTAGAGTATATATTTAATAATAATAAGTGATAATTATTTATCTAAAGTTAAAGTTAAAAATTAACGTTTTAGTACGAGCAACTCATTTTGCCTATATCTCCTAACGTCATTGCTTTGTGAGGTGTCAAAGTGAAATGTATCTCCTGAGAAATTGCATTTTTACAAAAGTGACAGTGTCGCATCGGGGGGTGCGTAATATTGATCGGATATATCGGATATATCGGATATATATATAAATGATTTTAAATATAAACAAAAAAATTATATATATATATTTATATTGATATAATATAATATTGTTATAGATTTATATTGCATAAAACATTATTGTGTGTTTAAAATTCAAGGGTACAAATACGCAATATATTAGCTATAACACCGTGGGTTCTATTCCCACCGAGTCCAACATGATTCCACCTGGAAAATCAGGATCTTAAATAGCGGGTAGAAAAATCCGGCATCCAAATATAAGCCGAAACGAAAAGAAAACAGTTTTAATATCATACATATCTAAATGAAACACTTCAATGATTTAAAACGCGACATATATTAGTTAAACTCGTTTGAAAACTATTTTAACTACGGCCCGACGTTTCGGATGCTTTTGCAGCCGGGGTTATATATATATTATATAATATACGTCGTAAAGCACTTAAATTTTTTTAAAGAAAGTGTGCCCAAATACACATCAGTCTTAGTACGGGGTCTAAAAGGTGCGGTCGGCTCGAAAGTTCTGACCAAGTTTCGACTTTCGGCAGGACCTCACTGTGTGTCTTTGCTATAAATATTATAGAAGTTAAAATATATTACACAAACGACACATTAAACTTCTAAGCAAAGCATAGACATAGAAAGAAATAGGAAGTACATAACAAAGTAAACAAAACGTTCGTGTTTGAGTATATATATATTTATGTTTTGCTTTAATACGGTATTTAATTGCTACAACTAATAAAAATAAAGCTTATAATTTCGTAGATACGTAGTCAGATTCCTTTTCTTCTACACTTGGTGCTTTTTGTCTTGGTAGGAGTAAGGTAAGTAGCGCGCACACTGAAAAATACATATATGGATAAAATAATTACAATATTTTTATGTAAAACTGCACTGACTGAATTAAAAAAGCTTTTCTATATCGCATTAAGTATTAAATCTTTCGAGTGTGAGTTTATTTTTTCCCACTTATTAGATACTAGCTGTGCCAGTGACTTTGTCGAGAATCGTTATTTTGGGCATCCAAATTAGTTTTTGGAAACCCCACAATCCTTATAAACTTAAGCTGTTAGCCATGACGTAGATCGCATCCCTTCCCGTCGTTCTTGCAAGTTAATTTTAAAAGATAGACTTTTTTAGATTATTTAAAGGGGAATCATTATTTCATACACATTTTTAGGTATCTTGATCCGATTTCGCAGCGTACGCGTTGGAAACCCACACAGATGAAAATTTTCCTTCGTTTTGTTTACATCTCCCGCTGTATCTTCACTTCTATTAGACACACCGCAATGTTTTATAGCCTATAATGCCTTTCTCGATAAATAATCTAAGCAAGGCAAAAAGACTTTTTCAACAAACTTTTCAGCTTCATATATAGAGATGAATGTGTAATTTTAAACTTACAGTAGAGCAGTCCTCCATAACTGTAGAATGTTACTTCGCAAGCAGAGTTGATAAGAGTTCCAGCTACGTTCATGCCTACGACAGATCCGAATCGACCTACCATCATCGCTAAACTGACAGCCATTCCCCTGTTGAAAGGTAAATAAATTTTCAGTCATATCTAAGAGAAAATGATATAAATAGCTACATGTATCGCATATTATGTCATAAAAAAAAAGAAATCCCGTATCCTCGCGTGGGGCATCTGGCGAACACACATCGTCCGTTTCACTAATCGGTATTTATTTACAGGCAAGTACTTAGTTGATTCGACTTTTGTGCCCTGCCCGACCGAAACAATTTACTGTTTCCACGGGATTCGAACCCAGGACCTCTCGCGCTTAATGCAATGCCAGGTAACACGTTTAACCATTTAGCTACAGAGGCGGTTATATTACGTCATGCCTTTATGAATATAACGACGACCGCTTTCATAAATCTAATTCCCTTTTTGAGAATTATTAGTCAGAACAGAGATAGAATTACTTCGAACAAAATAAAAAATACAAAAAATAATATAACAGTTGTATTTTTCAATTATTATAATGCGTGTGCCATTCCTATGGAATCAATGTGTGGTAGCCAATTTTAGTGGTGCTAGTATTTTTTTTAATGGTAAAGAACAGACTGCCAAGGGGTTTACTTAATGATGGGAGAAACACCCCAGCCTATCTAAGCAAGATGCGTCGTCTAACTATTTTGGCTTTGGATATCCGGAACTTCACAGACTGATTAAACATCACGACCTTTTCATTTGTGGACGGCGGTTCGTGTATCGGGCGGAATTTCGATATTCCTACCATCCATTTAAAAACCACATTTCCAGAAGAATCCAACATGTTTCAGAACAATTAAACATTGATTAGTAAAATGGACCCGGTGGGGATCGAATGCACTGCCCGTTGATTATTAGCCGTGCATTGCTAACATTACACCAACAAGCCCGTCGAATTTTTCGTTTTAATATTTAAGTAACACTAAAGCCGACTTTGTTTTCTAAGTTTTTGTGGTTCAAAGAATATAACCGCATATTGCTATTATCGAATATTATTGTTTTCATGTACGAATAATTTTGTTGTCCACCTCTGTAGCCAAATGATTAAACGTATTGCCTAGCATTGTGTTAAGCGCAAGAGGTCTTGGGCTCAAATCCTAGGGAAACATAAAATTGTTTCGGTCGGGCAGAGCGCAGAAGTCTGATCAATTACTTGCCCATTAAAAGAAGGATCAGTGAAACGGACACAGAAATGTGAGCCCCATGCCCTACGAGGGGGAAACGGGCTTTCACACACGAATAACTTTTAAGTTACCTCAGTTTCGTTGGGAAAATCTCCACGGCGAATGCGTTCACCGGCCCGATTGACAAGCCCAATATTGGGAAAGACGACACAAGCACAGCGAATAGAATTTTTTGTGTCGCAAAATTGATTCCCAAGCATACACTCCCTAAAAGTATGAACACCGCTATCAAGAGGTTTTTCTTTCCGATTATCTTCACTGTACTGCTTACGCCCACGGCTATGACAGCGCAAGCCAAGCTGGATGAGGCGTTAATAATAAATGTCATTGGATCTATTGTATCGACGCATACGCCACCAACTACAGTCTGAAAAATAATATGTTATTAATATTTACATTATAGTTTCATTATAAATTATGTACTCAAATTGGTATGTTTTTTATGATAGTGGAGTACAATCAAGTAAGGTGAATCCCCGCCCTATAACATATAAAGAAGCTATTTTATTTTGTCTTTGGATACTCGGAAAGCCACAAACTAAAACAAAAATGCGATTGAACGTCACGACTTTTTAATTTATGGATGGTGGTTTGGACGGAGCTACGGTATTCCTTCCACCTATTTAATATTCAGACAAAAAAACTATATTCTTTTCTAGTATTCTAAAAAAATATTCAAGTTCCTAATACTATTTTTTATAAAAATTACTCACTGCTATTATGAAAATTGACTAACCTGATTTCGTTTCTGAGCTAACACCTCACATGCCGTTTGACTTTGTCCTCCCCCAGTTAAAACAGTATTTAACACGTCCGGGAGCCATATGTATAGTCCATTCAAACTAAAATAAACAACGATTGTGTAATATGTAGCAATAACAAATAAACTATATAAAAATAAAATCCCCTTGTGAAGCATAGGGCGCACTTAATTTAGTGTTCGTTACACGATATTATTTACAGGCAAGCGACTAAACTTCTGTGCCCTGCCCAACTGAAGCGTACTATTGTTTCACCGGGTGTCGAACCCAGGATACCAGGTTAGGCATGACACTTATCCATTTAGGTAGATCGGCGACAAAACTATATACTTAATATGTATGTATTCTTTAAAAAACTATTATATGTGAAATTTAACGTAAAAATAAATTTTAACGCGTTTGAAAACATTAATATTTTTTACATGTTATTGCACATGAAGGCACTATATAATTTAAAAATCGAAAAAAAAATTGAAAAAAAAAAATTTTTCGACTCGGGCAGGATTCGACGATGAGGTGTAGGACTCGGTAGCTCAATTGGTAGAGCAACACCACGGAACGCTGACGATGTCGGTTCAAGTCCTGCCCGAGTCGAAATTTTTTTCAATTTATTTTCGATTTTTAAGTTTTAACGCGACCAAAATGTTGTATTTTAACAAAAACATAAGATGTAACTTGGTATATATCAGTGGGTCGCGAGTTCGAGTACTACCTGTGTCACAGATTTCCTTTGTGTAAGTTAAAATATTTGAACTTTTCATACTTAACAAAAATACCGAAGAGCAGAAAACCAATTAGAACCATCCATTTTATGAAGGGCGGTTTTAATAACGGAGCGGATTGAATCACTAGAGACTTGAAGAATGTCGGCTTATCCTCATCGTTATTTGTTATCATCTTCAAACGTTTCACCTGTGGAAAAGATATGATAACACATTTGATTTTGGGGAAAAACTTTCAGTGAGTCACACGAGATATAAAAAATAGTGATAGGAAAAATTCAGCCATCGTCACTTAAGTCTATACATATATTGTATATATTCAAGCGTGTAGAATGTGTATTTAAAAATAGTGCACTTACTCGATAACGAGAGTAAGAATATAAAAAAAAATCTTTAAAATTTTACTGTCGGCTATAAAGAGAATAAATATCGGTAAAAAAGCTTTTAAGTTAAACGTTTTTATTTTTTGTGCAAACTACGAAAGTTTTTTTTTTAATTTTGACATCATCATCGTGTTTCACTAGTGTAGCCCTTTCATTTGATATCCATATTGAGGGGGTTTAGGAATAATATGTAATCCGCCATTTTGTATCAGCGGCCATCTTAGATTTATAATGTTATTGATTTTATTATATTGTATTGTCATCTAAATTAAATGTCTGTACTAAAATTGAGATCAAACTGAGAATGGAAAGGTGCTTAAATTTTAATTTCTAACTTTGACCCAAATAAATAAATTCCGTACGGGTTGAGCTAAATAAAAGTAAACACTCATTTTGAGACAACGTAATCACAATATTTATCAGACAACACTTTTGTTAGTTATACTTTATAGAAGATTACCTTAATGCAGTTACGTTATTTTTTAATTTCTTTAGTTCTCTAAATAACCTTAAATGTTTGATATCAATCAAATTGATAATTATCAATGGATAGATGAGTTTATTACTAATCATTAACATTATTATTCTTTATCAATTATCAGACATGTAGTAATAATAAGAATGTATTACACTATTTTGCATCGACCTAAAATTTTTATGAATTTATTTTGAGGCAATAAAATAAAAGCCCCGCAATTTATTATGAAAGACAACTTTGGCTAGTTTTGATCCCTTCCCCCTATTATACAATAAGAATAGACCGACCCCCGACCCCCTGTTAAATATTTATTACGAAAGAATTTAAAAGAAATATTTATTTTCTACATAACAATTTTTTGAAATTTTTTAGTCCCAGAGCTCAAACAGCAAATCACTGGGTCATCAATAAAAAAAATACATTGCGCACGTCTTGTGATCTTACATAACTATGAAGACACCCTCCCACCTCCTTGTAAGAAAAAATAAGCCATTGCCGAACGTCCTCCCCCCTAAGTGAGATTTATGGAGATTTACATAATAAATGAATGCCCCTAAAGAACAATAGTCGTTAAGAGAGGAAAGCGGGGCGTGTATACACAGGACATATACATGGATCACTGCAAAACAGCAATTTGGCGGAGTCATGGTGATACTTACTGGAAAATCATCCGGAGATTTCCTCTTGTTTCCGGCATACATCGTTCTAAGCACTTCTAACGATTCGTCGTGCCGTCCACAAGACATGAGGTATTTAGGGCTCTCCGGGCCCAAAGACATTAATAGGGCTCCAATAATAAAGGGCAGTGCGTATACGATTGTAAGCAGCCGCCATGGTTTGAAATTATATAGACCAAAATCGATACTGAAGTTTTGAGGTAGAATCGCCCACCCCAATACTGAAAATAACAAATAAATACTGCCTGTAGTATACGCGAGTAGTACACGACTACGACTGCTGCAAAGCATCCGAAACGTCGGGCCATAGTTAAAAATAAGTTTTACTAATATATATCACGTTTTAAACCGTTAAAGTGTTTATTAAAAGAACAGAAAAGATAGATTTAGATTGATTTTGAATTATCAATTTTTTATATTTGATAGCATGATTATCTCTCTTAGATTGAAAATTTATTGAAACCTACAAATTAGGTAACGTTCCACAATACAGTTTATTGAGACACATAAAATATCTGGTTCTAAAGTTTCTACTTATAATTTATCTATACATATACCCATATATATAACGCATAATACATACTCATCGTTTACTGAAGATTTATTTAAAATATGCCGTACCGCATACGTTTATGTCCTTCAACATCATTATATTACAAATAAATAAATAAAAATACCACATTCAATATACATTACACAATAATTACAAAAGATTATGTTGTAAATTGTAATCTATATAGGATGTTGTTTGAAGTCTACATTTCTACTTACGCGGTACTAACACAGATCCAAATATTTGCATAGCATTTGTTACGGAGAGCGTCACGTCTCTATACCTTCCTGGTAGAATTTCCCCTATAAAGGAATATGGCACAGCAGCAGGGCATGCGAGACTGAAAATTATAATAATATATTGACAATAAATACTTATATGTAGGTACAACTATAAGTTGCCTTTAAGAAACTAGGGACTTGAAACGATCCCTTTCCAAAAATACATTTTTAATTTAAAATCGGTCGAGACTTTTAAACAAATGAAGATCTAAATAAAACACTTTAACGGTTTAACGGTTAACGAAGTTGGTATTTGGCAAAACTGGCCGGGTCCTTGCAGAATTGACTAACGGTGTCTTCGCGTTTGCTGGTATGCTGTTTATTGGGATCCAGAGTTTTTAATATGGGATCCCAGGTGTTATTAAAAACTTTGGATCCCAATAAACAGCATACCGGTAAACGCGAAGACACCGTTAGTAAATTCTGCAAGGACCCGGCCAGTTTCGCCAAATACCAACTTCGACGGAACAGATGGCGCTAGAGTAGCAATTATTTACTTTGACGTCAGAGACATCCTCCATCTTTAGTCTCCCCGTGACCACGACTGCTGCAAAGCATTCGAAACGTCGGACCGAAGTTAAAGATCATTTCCAAATAAGTTTAACTAATATATCGCGTTTTAAACCGTTAAAGTGTTTTATTTTAATGTGTACTACTCGCGTAAACTATAGACAGTATTTAAATGAAGATCGTAAACAAAATTTGGGCCCTAAGCTGTAACTTAACTTCAGTAGTGATATAACAATAAAGACTAATCTCTATAGAAATGAATAACACAAGTGAATAACATCAACGAAGCACGATTGTCATCGTCAATTGATGGATCCAGATAGTATAAATAGATATGCCTACAATCATACGTAATATCTAGTCGGTTTAGGGGTCATATTTTGACTTTGAGAAGTGATTTACGACTAGATTATTTCTTAAAGACTTACCATAAAGACATTAGGAACTTAAGCGCAGTAAATGAGATCAAATCGGGCATGAAAGCCGAAAGTACACCCAGAAACCCAGCTGCTAGTGAACTGAGGACTATCATTCGCTTCCGTCCCCTGGTATCCACTGCGTAACCCCATGGGAAAGATGTTATTGCTATACCTGAAAAAAGCTTTACTATACTTGCTTTCCTATATAATATACTCGTTAGACTAATATTTATTATGTTAAAAAATAGGAAAGACAAGACAGTAAGAAGTTATTATTTAATATTTAGACATGCTCCTCTCATACTAGATTTCATCTAATGCATAGTGACTGTGGTAGAATAGCGTGTTATATAGTTTCGAATCCAGGCTATACAAGCATTTGGTTATGTTAAAGAAGCATCATTTCGTTTACGACATAGTGGATATTTAAATAATGCACTTTAACAGTTAAAAGCGACCTTTCGGTGGCCTTGTAGCAGCCGTGGTCACGGGGAGTCTCCTCGGAGAGTTTCAAATAAGCTTAACTAATATATGTCGCGTTATAAACCGTTAAAGTATTGTATTTATATGTATACTGCTCGCGTAAACTACAGACAGTTCTTGATATACCTATATAAGGAATAGATCCTATAAACCCACGCTGGGTCTCTGTCATTTGCAGGTCACATCTCGCTGACGGAAGAATATAGGCATATCCCACTGGTTCAATAATTACAGCTATAAGAAACAATGCCAGGCACAGACTGTAGCGTATATTGTACCATCCGAGACCTGAAATATTTGTAAAGAACAAAAAAACTTTATCATTGACAAACAGAGCAAATCCTTAAAATATTTTATCTTTAAAACAAAGAACGATCGTAATAATCAACAAATAGTTGATCAAAATAAAGTCACCTTGTCTTATTAAAACTATATTTATTACAATGACTGGGAAATAAGCGAAGCAATTGTTTTATAGTTTCATTTGAAACGTTATTCTTCACATGTGCACGTGATATTTTACTAAATAAAAAATCTATTCGCTCCAGTCTAGGCACGGGTTTGAATCCCGCAAAAAGCAAGTTTTTAATCTCAGATACATGGATTTCAATGTTAATTTCTATTTCGATTGCCGAGTTACTTGTGGTTAATTGTAATGTATAATTGTTGCGATCGAGCTGTTAAGAAAGAAAATTTGTAGGAACTGCTGTTAACTAAGTATCTTGTTAGAGAAAGTTAGATGAAAAATTAAGTGTTCCTTACACACATTTATATATGATATAGATCTATACATACTACACGATGTGATGTGATGCATAATCTAAACCTTCAAGATTATTTATTAGTTTACTTTGTTAAGGCCAAGATCCGTATATAAACAATATTTTAATCTATTTTAATCATCAAATGTCAAAGCTCATTGGCACGTGTTGTAATAATTCCTAATGTCAAAAAATTAATCTGTAAAATATAATCTACTAGCTGTACCGGCGACTTCGCCTGCCTGGAATAGTGAATTTGGGTAAAAATTTTAATTATTTAGGCTGTTTATTTATTTATAAAAGGGCGCATTCAAGGCAGCTAACCTGTGTGGTAAGAGCTCACCTCACATCACTCCTACTCTAACTTCCACTCTCACTCCCATTCCCAAAAGCCAAAAGGAATTTTCGATGTTCGAGCTTCAAAAAATCACGGATTTCCATACACACTTTCATTCCCCTTTTCAACCCTTAACAACCCTTTTTTGCCTTTCTCAAGCTTTAGGATATCTGTGTACCAAATCTCATTAAAATCGGTTTAGTAGTTTCGGCGTTAAAACGGACCGAGAGACAGTGTTACTTTCGCTTTTATAATATTAGTATAGATGTTTTTACTGATGAAATTAAAAAAAATATATGAAAATTATTGAATTTCTCGAGTCATTTAGTAACATTTTATATCTTATAAGACCAGAAAAATGTATCCTCAAGCTTAAATTTAGATATTAAATAGTTAACAGAATTTCATGACAAAATTAAACATCGTGACAGTGCAGTCCAATTAACAACACATATTTAAAATTCTACATATTTTCCTAATTAAAATTACAGTTTCAAACCTGCTATGTCCAAAGCAACATCCACATCAACCTCACGATTGTCCTTACTATCGACATCACCAGAAATAGTTTTTAAATTATCCACCATTTTCACACTTAATTATTGTACCTAATAATTTTTACATCTCAATTTTTTGTATTAAAAGTAGGGAAATATATTCATTAATAAGTATTTGTCTTCGATAAAGAATAAAACCACGAATAATACATAGATATACTAAAACAACGGAAGAAAAAACTACATTTGCAAAAGATTCAACATTTTAAGCTACCGACGCACTGAGTTAACACTTTGAAGTAATATTAGTCGTGCTTCCTCGCTAATTTTCAGTAATATAATAATTACGTTCTTTCCGCACTGTGCTGGGACACGGTTATCAGTGATATAATTTATCATAACGTTATTAAAATTACGACGGTTGCAATTACAACACTCCGGTACTTATATGGGAGATCATTACATTTTATTATCGGCTTAGTATTAAAAGTACGCATTTGGGCTTATCTTCGTACGAAAAATACAACTAAAGGGTTGCTCATCGGTATTATGGTAAAAATACAATAATTTTTTTCTTATACAAGGCGTAAACACGTTTTACTTAAATACGCGTCTTTTTGATTTGACTTTAATGAAGTTTTCTATAAAGATAACTTATGTCACAAACGTTTTTCCCGGAAAATTGGAAATTAACATCCTAAATCCTCTTATTTCAATCTTAGTAACACGATTAAACGAATATTAACATCTGTTAGTCATTTTGGTTGGTTTGGACTTTGTGGTTGCTAATATATCGATCTAACTTATGTTGCTACTTTAGAAGTTCAGAAATAATACACCAAGGACGATTTAGAGATCCACTTTATTTGACCTTCGTTACTTCCGATAACAGGCGCATCTTCTATTCACGTGTACAAGTCTGGCCGACCGAGTTCTAATTCTCAACGTCTCTTTTAACAATATTTGATTACGGACTAAAATATCGACATCTTCCTTCAAAGCTTTGAGCATATTTTCGACTGGAACAAGGTTCTGTTCGTAAATCATTGAAATCGTTTCTTTGAGCTCGTAAGAAATGAGTCTTAATTTTTTTGGTTCTTTTCTGTCTTTCGATGACTCTGCAAATAAATATTAATCAGCGCTGTACAAACTCTACTAAGACTGGGTAATTAACTGTTATCTTACCTTGTAAACATTCGCTGTTTTTATAATGTGTATCTTTAATTCCATGAACTAAGTTTTTCTTTATAAAAATCACTAGATCAGTGCTTGGATCTACAGGAATTTTTATTTCATCTTTATTAGCTTGTAGCTTAGAGTTTAATAACATTACGGCATCACGTTTATTACTTATCGACGTGACCTCAGGGTCAATAGTCTTTAAAACTCTTATTTTTTCATCATTTACATACATCTGTAATGCAAAATCTATGTGAAAGCGATCTTTAATGATTTCCTCTTCATTCCATGTGTTGGATGTTTCAAAATTAGTAAAATCACCGTCTTTCTTCTCCTTTTCTATTACGATTTTGTTCGTGAGTAGAGTCTTTGAGACTTTTTGTCTCGGTTTTTTCACATCTGCAATTTTTAATTCGTGATTAGTCATTGACTGGGGGATATCTCCGAAATATGAAGACTCTAAGCTTTCTTCTTTATTTATCTTTAGTACCGAGTACTTTAAGACTTGATGAGGTGGCGTTTCTCCGTGCGTTTGATTTGTCTCGTTATTTATTTGATCCACATTATATCTTATATTGTTTTCTGAAAGTATAATGTCTTCTATCTTTTCTTGGCTATTGATATCGAAGCTGGGATAATTTACAGACGTTTTATCAAAGATTGAAAGGTCTCCATGTCCATCCATTCTTGCCTTTGTTGTAACTGTTTGTTTTTCTTCCTTTAGAAAAGTTTCTAAATTGGTTTTAAACATGCGTGAAGACAAAGAAATAATACCGTCGTCTTTTGACTCTGCGGTCGATATAGTATCAGGAATGCTGTCTTCTTTACTAGAAACAATTTCAGAAATTATTTTAGTCACAATATTTTTAATTAATTCCAACTCGTTTTTTGTCTCTTCTTCATTGATTTTATTTTCATCTATTTGCTGTACCACACTTGGTTTTACCAAATCAAATGAAAGTAGTAGGTTGGTTGTCTTATCATCTAACTCTTGTTTAAAATTACTATTTTCCCTTGTTAAAGAATCTTTTTCACGCTGTTTGTTTGGGGATTCAATTTTGTTCAATGGCTCTTTTAGTTCTGCAATATCATTATTTATTTCATAATTTTCTATTGATCTTATCGGATTTCCATTTTCTAAGCCAATAACAGCATTAGCGATAGACATTCGTGATGTTTCTTTTGGCAAAATCTTAATTATATCATTTTGTTTCTCTACTCTGCTACTTGATATAAAAATCTGATCTTTTTGTGAATTTTTACTAGAAACTTTATGCAATTCCGAATTTTTAGACAGTTCAATATCTTTTGAGTTTGTTTTACTATAAAATATTGTTTTTTTTGTTTTCGTTCCCAGGTTCATAATACTGTTGTTTTGATCTCTAGAATCAACAAAAGTACGTTCTGTTAAAGCGCCGTTGTTTTGAATATCTTCTAACACTGTATGGTCTTGTGTCCACGTATTGTTAATATTGGCATCCAACGGAGTATTTGCTTTTTCCGAGTTTTCAAAACTATTATTTTTGTGAATATCATTCACATCTCTGTCCGATGACTCTTTTTCTATGTAATTGCTGGCAATATAGTCAGTTTTTATGGTTTTACTATGATTGCTTTCATTATCTTTCATATTTTCTCCGGATTTAAAATTTTCTTGTGTTTTATTGTTAATGTATGCACTTAGAGGTGTTAGTTTCTTGATAATATTTGCACTATCATTTTCTTTGAGTAGCGACTGTGACCTGAAAGGAAAAATTATATTTTCGTTCTTTATTTCTAATTTTTGTTGGCATTCATCATCAACGTGATTATTTGAATATGCGTTTTGCTCCATCGTAATATGTTCACTACTGGTACTCTCACTAAGCCTCTGTGATTTTGACTCCTTTTTTTCTTCTTTCGTCATTTCTTCGTCTTCTTTTACAATTTCTGTTTTTGAATCATTGCTTTTGGCATTATTATCAACATTGCCATGTGATAATAATAAATGTTCGTTTTTCATTCTCGTGTCATGATTACTTTCAGGAAGCTTCAGCTTTAAGACCTTTTCATTTTCAACCGTTTCATCTAATTTTAAAACATTATCTTTGTAATCATTATGAATGTACATATCTGGTGGTAATAGATTGCCCTTTTCTATTATGTTATTATTGTTGCGTTCAGTAACTAGTAGTAATTTTGGCACATTTGTATCCTCTGCCTTATCTTCTAATTGCAAAACACTTTCGTTGTAATTATTATTGACAAAAGATGCCGATAGTAATGATTTCTCATTTATAGACTGTTCATTAAAATTGGCTTCGGGACGTGTTAATTTTAACAGATTTTTATCACTCTTAACATATATTAAGGTATTATCAGGATTGGACATTGATAATGCCACATGCTCCGTGAGGTATTTATGAGTATTGCTGGCGTGAGAGTGCAATAAATCTAAGGCCTTTACTTCATCACTCGCATCAAGAGTACCTTTCTCAGAAGATGCATTTGCAGTAATAGACGTTTGTGATGACTTCTAAAAATTAAGCCTTTATCAATTATGTGATTATAGACGATATAACACAGAAAAAATTAATAGTATGTAAAAAAAAAAAAAAAAAAAAAGAAAAAAAAAAAAAAAAAAAAAAAAAACAAAACCCCCCCCCCCCACCCCCCCCCCACAAAAAAAAAAAAAAAAAAAAAAAAAAAAAAAAAAAAAAAAAAAAAAAAAAAAAAAAAAAAAAAGGGGGGGGGGGGGGGGGGGGGGGGGGGGGGGGGGGGGGGGGGGGGGGGGGGGGGGGGGGGGGGGGGGGGGGGGAGGAAGGAGGGGGGGGGGCCCCCCCCCCCACCACAAAAAAAAAAAAAAAAAACAACAAAAAAAAAAAAGGGGGGGGGGGGGGGGGGGGGGGGGGGGGGGGGGGGGGGGGGGGGGGGGGGGGGGGGGGGAAAAAAAAAAAAAAAAAAAAAAAAAAAAAAAAAAAAAAAAAAAAGGGGAGGAAAAACACAAAAAAAAAAAAAAAAAAAAAAAAAAAAAAAAAAAAAACACCCCCAAAAAAAAAAAAAAAAAAAAAAAGGGCCCCCAAAAAAAAAAAAAAAAAAACCCAAAAGGGGGGAAAAGGGAAAAAAAAAAAAAAAGGGCCCCCGCCCCCAGTTTAAAAAAAAAAAAAAAAATTACCCAAAAAAAAAAAAAAAATTTATTTATTAAAAGGCGAGTCCCAAAAAAAATTACTTGGCTTAAAACCAAACGCGGGCTGCCCGGAACAGTATGTAAATTATAAAATGATTTCCCGCATGATCACAAGTATAGTGTAGAATAAAAATTACTAAACATATAATTAATGAACCCATGGAATGTACAAAATAAAAATACTTAAATAAATAAAACTGGCATATATTATGTTGCCTCAAGCTTAATCTGTTGCTAAAATGAAAAATGTCGTTGTCATACCTTGCAAGTTTATCCATACAAACTCACTTTTTCTTTTTTGACAATTTTTTTCGGGATATTTAATAGGATGTGCTATTAGATTATAGAGTAACAAAGTATAGAGGAATAATGTTAAACTAAAAACAAATAAATGTGTGACCGCGGCTGCGCTATAATATATTTGTATTTTTTCAGAAGAAAAGAACCATTAAGGATATTTTAGGCGTATCTTATCCTGTTTAAACTGATCCTTAACGAATCTTATTTTAAAATAATAATACTAGTGATTGGTCGTATCTCCAATGCACAAATCGCTCTGGGTGACATTAAATAAAAGGGATTATTATGAAGCCAAAGATTATATTTACCTTCACTGGAGCGATCACGATAACATTCTCAAGTGCAGGTTCTATATATTTGTCGCTGTCCCTTAATGACACCTTTAGTATGTCGGTAGTATTATCCTCCATTATTTCAGGACTTACAGTTTCTTTGTATGAGCTCTTATTATTTTGGTCGATTTCTTCTACATTATTGGTCCTCAAAATATTAACATTATAGTCATGATTTAGTTGTGGCAGGATAGATTCATCTGGTTTATCCGTTGACGGTGCAGCTGCAAGTAAATCTGTAAATTCTTTACTAAGCTCTTTATTTATATCCGATTTTGAAAAGTTCTTTGTAGCAGTCATTTTTAAATCATGGCTTTTAAACCTGAATTCTTTATCATTTAATTCATCACTATCACGGCGAGTCAAATTACTTTCTATAGGAGATAAATGACTTCTATCTGGTAGAATTGATTCTACTGGCTTTCCCGCTAAGATCATAATACTATCTCTAAATGGCGATGCGGTATTTTTATAGTGTGGTAATATTTCCTTTTCAATTTCAGGTATTTTAGAAATGTCTTCTGTACTAGAAATACTCACTTCTTTACTTTTTATCGGTTTGTAATAGGATAATAAGTAAGAATTTGTCCCAACTGATAATTTGTTATATTCTTCCGTTTTCTTTTTCGATCTATCTTCACTCGTTTTCCTAACTTCTGAGTCATTGCATGTTAAATTCGATGGGTATGTTATAAGAGTATCGTCATATACATCTTTATCACCAAATCGGTTTAGATGACATTCCGATCGCAATTTGGTTTTCATATCCTCATTGTGAATAGACATAGAGTTATCATCTAATGTTTTTAGAGTCTCATCTTGGAATTTCTTATTGTTTTCATCGTGTCTTTCAATAAAAGCGGGCTTATATGCGTATTTTTCTTCACCAAAGGGTGGATCGAGGCAACCTCCTAACAAATTAAGTAAATAGATTAGGAGTACTTCTTATATTGCCTTAGTTATACACAAATGCACTATCCTACATTATTACCTGGTTTACATTTTCCTAAAAATGCTTTAGGAGATTGAAATGTTTCATTAAGCTGTTGATTTATAGAATTATTCTTTTTAAGTCCAAAAGTTGTATTTTCGTTTTGTAATTTCAGTCGATTTGAACTATTCGTATCTTTTATATCTTCGAATGATTTCGTAATATTATAAGGATAATCATCATCATCGCTTTGTGCACTTAAGCAAATACCTAGAGATCGAGATAGTATAATACATATTAAAACAATTATATAATAATTGAAATAGCTGATACACCATGATTATTGTTTTATTATACCTCAGCGTACGTTAATTATTGCATTTTTTTATGAACATTGACAGGTATTCTCTTCAATTTCGGTTCATGTTACAACAAAACTTACCTGGCTTAAATATTTGAAAAACTTTCTTTTGTGATTTTTTCGTTGGTTTTTTTGCTTCTGTATCCACTATTAAATTAAACGACATTAACGTTTGGTCGCTGTTTACCCGTCGTAGTTTATCAATTGTTTTAGAATATTCCAATTTAGGTACAGATATGACACCTCTTCTCGCCTCATTTCGATGTCGATATTTTATTTTAACATTTACTGGAGTCCCATTTGTATGTGTATTTTTAGGTACATTATCTACTATTGTTTCAGTACATGGTGCGGTCACAATTTGAAACGATAAATTTTCTACGAGTTTATCGATGTCTGCTTTTGACTCCATTATCTACGAGATTACATATAAATAAGCGTAACGTATGTAAATAGAATCTATAAATCTTTATTATTTTAAGAAGTAAACAAAAGACTTACTCAAAAAAAGCATTGTATTGGCTCCAAACTACTTAATAAGACAAAAGATGAAATACATCTTATTTTTAATAACTTATTCATCGAAAACAATCGAATAGACAACACGATTACAAAGTATATCATTATTAAATGAAGACGTATCATTATTTAATAAAGTCGGTACAGTACTTTCATTTATTTTATTTTCTAAATTATCTATAGATTTTGCTAGTAAACCAAAAGTGGTGCATTTTGTAATAATATCCTGTAAGACAACTTTGAGGGGCAAAATTTCTTTTTCCATGATTCTTTTGAAGTGATCTATACGTGCAGTTGGGTGCATCGTTCTGTGGGGATTAATATATCGATCAAAATCGAAGGGATAACATTGAGAAGGTTGAAATAAGAATCCCTTATCCTTTAAACACCTATCATATTCTATTCGTCGTTTATGTGTTTTGGGTTTACATGGGACAATTGGTAAATCCTTGATTCGACAATGTGGACTGCCTGTGTCTTCTGTATCAATGTTAAAAAGTGGTACTAAAGTTAATTTTTTCACTTCCTTGGATTGTGGGGCTAGGGAATTAGGGAGATATGTTGATGTTGCGACAGTTTTAGTATTTTTAATAGAGTCAGTAATAGTTTGACTTTCGATACTAAAACTTTTAATATTGTTTAAATTGTTGCAAGTGTCAGTGCTCCTAGTAACTGTAAAATAATAAACAAAAAGGTTAAAAAAACGTTTCATACACTAGAACTTAAATTAGTTTTACGTTTGTTTGTTCACCATTGATTTTTCCTACTATGTCGATCTTAGTTTTCTTTTCATTTACTTCTTTTGCTAAAAACTTTTCCTTATCTTGACGACTTATTATTTTAAGTGTTGATATTGTAAAACGAGCGTCATTTCTCTTACAATCATCATCATATATAAGATGGTCGCTTATAGGAGTAGCTATGCAAGACAACTCTGCATTCGAAAATGATGACAATAAATCAATACAAGAATGGTAGCATTTCAAATCGTTTTGGCCATTGATATAACTTTTTAGTTTCTTTACAATAATCTTATATGTTACGGGGATAAGATATTCTATTGAGTCAATATCATCTTTCCATTTGATTTTATCTATGTTTTTTATATTAGAAACTTTTGGTATTATCTCTAAGCAACATGTAGATCTATTTTTAGCTAAAGATGTAAATTTCAGATGAATGGCTGCAGTACCCATTAAAAAAACTGAAAAAAAAAAACTTATCTTATGTTTCGAAGTACGTGACTTCACTGCTTGGGCTAGAATTTATGTAATGCTTAATACAAAATATAACCTTCACTTCCAGAAAAATCTAATACATATAATCTGATTTCTTCTTTTCTTTTACCTAACTTAAAACTTAGCTTTGCGGAAAGTAACTTACTTGATAAGATTAACTTGCCAAAATTTTGAATTTAGTAAATCCTAAAATAATTAGTTTAGTAATCCATTGCACTGTAATTTTTTTCTGCTTTCCTAATTACCAATAACATATAAACTACAATTTTGAGACACGCTTAAACGTCATACATCCAAACTTGTTTATTTCAGTTGACAATATCTTTTATATTTCTTCAAGCTAATTTGATTTTAAAAAGGTTTGTTACGTAATAGAGATTTTTATTGTATGTATACTGACCAACGCTTGCTCTAAGCGCGAAATTCAATAAAGATTCGTGTTTGAGAAATTCAATAAAAAAAAACTGTTCGTACATTACTTTTTATTACCACAGGTAACACTACCTACTGTACATTTTAACCAAGACTGACAGTTTACGATATGCGCAGTGTCATTATTGCTTACAGAACTTTATATCGTCATGTACGTTATGTGCAAAATTTCACCGTTTTTCAGAAGATCTATACATACTTACTTCTATTTACATACTTATCTTTATTAGCTATATATAACACGATAAGTAACAATAAAACTATACAACTATTTATATCTTTGGTATGCAGCTGTAGATTCTTAATATGTTACACAGAATTACTATCAAATAGTTATTATTAATCTTACCTATGTTTAAAATTTATTAAATATGTATATACATAGAATGGTTTTACTACGTAAAGCATTGTAATGTATTTGGTTAAGGTTGAACTTTGAAGGTACTTTATGTTCTCATAATAAAGATTTAGTGTCCACTATACAATTGTTTTTAATCGTAGTAATATTTTTTTATATGTTCCGTAGTAAAAAAATATACAGTAAATTATTAAAATTTTTAGGGGGCAGTAGGACAATGCTTGAAAACTTTATTTATAACTCAGACTATTTTTATTATAATTCGGCCGCCGTCCCCTAAAGATAATAAGCAAAAAATATATCGCAGATAAGCCAATTTGGTACAACGGAAGAATTATCTATTTAAAAACAATAAACTTTTAAACTAAGTCAAGGTAGAAATTAGCTTTACTACTGATTATATTTTAAATTTACATCATGATTTCTCCTTATCCTTTAAATATGAACTAAATCTATGTACAGACTAGACATTTGAGATCAATTCGAAAGCCAATTACTCCTTACATGAAATTTGGACCTTAATAAATAACTTCTATTTATATTATATAATATGTACAATAGATCTTTATGAATACTACCTTAGATAAATAAAACGTTAAGAGATACAATTATATTTCGTTAAGATTGATTCAAAGGCATTTGAATGTTTTGTATACCTCTACGTTCATTTATTTCGTTGACCGCGACTCTCAAGCCGAACGTCGCCGGTTACAAAATATCAGGCCTTCAAGAAATCTTTTGTGACTGACAGTTATAGAGTTTGTTTTTTCATTTATTTACACTCATGCTTGCTTCTGGGTGTGTAAAGACGAGAAATCAAACATATAAATGAGTCTAACTTAATTTCCTACCAAATGAAATAAATCGAACAGACTATCAAAGCTTTACTAATTAATCCTACAACATATATTGCATGTGTGTCCCACCTACTGCAATATAACATATCCTAAACCTACTCGAATTTGTAACTTCCATCGTGCTCTGTTATATAATCTATATTTTAGTGTCATTTACGTTTAATCTGAAACAGTTTAGCATCTGTGCTAAAATTAATTTTAACAAGGGTAACTTAAAATCGTTATTTAATAATTCCTCCTCTGGTAAAGTAAGCCTGCCATATTGGATATAAGAAGATGGAGAAATAGCCAGACAAACATTTTATAAATTAATTCTTGTCCTATGGTTTGCAATTTTAAAGCAATACAATTAAAAAGAAAAGTAAATATTGGTTTGTCGCAGTTTATGTCGTCGGAATTAAAATAAGTTTTATAATTGAAATAATGATTAAAACGTAAATCACACTAAAACTACCTAAAACGACCTTCGCTGTGCCTTCAATTCTTTTAATAAAGCATCATTTAATGTTATAATCATAAAAACCGTTTGACGGAGAAAAATACGCAATTAATTTAATAACTAATTATAATCCACGGTTTGAAATGTCTCTTGTGAAATAATGACACTTATATTCGTGTACTTTTAAGAAGTGTGGCTTTATTAAACTAATTGAAGACACACAACACCGAATCCAAACAATCCACAATCCAAAATACCTATTTATACTTGCAGTAATTCTCTCCAGTATTATATTAATATAAATAGTTTTTCCTATCATATTACCGTTGTAGACGCATAGTACAAGTTTGAATATTTATTTATAAATGCTTTAGTAAACCCTCTTACGTGATATTAAGATTGTATTAATTTTACTAATTATTTTATAACCAGCTGTGCCCGCGACTTCGTTCGCGTGGAATAGTGACTTGAGGTAGAATTTTTAATTTTTTAGGCTGTTTATTAATTTATGTAATTGCGCATTTATCGCAGCCAATCTTTGTTTTATTTTTTTTAGTTTGCCGTAACACTCTCATTTCACATCACTCCTGATCTAACTCCCACTCCCACTTTCACTTCTACTCCTTTTCCCAAAAAGCCACAGAAAACCACGATTTTCCATACACTAAAAAAATGCCTATGTTCTTCCTCAGGGTCTAGATCATCTGTGTACCAAATTTCATTCAAATCTTTGGCGTGATTGAGTAACAGACAGACAGACAGAGTTACTTTCGCATTTATAATATTAGTAAGGATGTAAAAAGTCGAATACTAGTGTGGTGGCTTAACCAACGTCCACTGATGAAGAAGCTGTGGAGTTAAAGTGCATTTCGATTTCAGTGAATTTCCGAATTTCCAACCTTATAGCCATAAGGTTGGACATTTGGATATTCGGAATTAGATCGAAAACGTATCTTGAGATGTTATAAGGTATTTCACCTTCCATCAAGTGATTCCATCTTGAATGTCCTCTATCATACAAACAAACACGATTGTGTACTGCTTGCTAAGATAATATTATTATGTTTTTTTAACTCCAACTTGCACTATGCATATTTTTAACTACATCCAGACTTATACGACGTATTTACTATTGAATAATATATACTTTAATTTGCCATTAAATGACCCGTAAAATTATATCTACGCCTACACCTTAAATATTTTTTAATAAGTCAATTAGTGACTTATTTCCTCCAATTGTTGCAAGCCAATCGTTGGTAAAATAATTGTCCTACTCAATAATCGTTTCCTTGTTACCTTGTATTATTAGTTGACATTATTCTTTTGTTTTATTGAATTTAAGGTCTAAGTAAACATTTGGGATGTAAATCCTGGTTTAAATACGGAAAATATAAAGATTATGGTTCAAATGTTGTGTGAGATATATAACCGCTTATCATCGTTTATTGCTTGCATAGTTATTTTGATAGACTAAACCAAGGCTTAGATATACGTTACAGCAAGGTTAATTACAAATATATATAGATGTAATTTTTAACTTGGCAGTACATATTTTTAATATGTATATTCTATCATTATAGTACTTATAAGTTATTTCTTATGTATTAATTTTACGACCGCCGTCGACCTATTTACAAATGACTAGAATTCCCCATCCTTTTTTATTATGACTAGATAAAGACTAGATTAGAACTAACTTAGCGCCAGTGTATAAAATACTAGAAGATCCGGAAAATACTGTTTTGTCGTTTGCAAGATTCATTATATTATATTGACTCTAATAAATAATTGGTAATTATGCATGAATTTCGACCAAATTCGATTACCGTAAAAACAGTTCTTGCGAGTTGCGGACATTTCTTTAGATCATTTAAAGGGGCTCTTTCAAACATATTTTTTGGGCATCTTGAATCATTTTTGTAGGCAACGAAAGCCCTCATTTTCCCCGTTTATTCCACATTTTCATTTTTTTCGTGCAACGTGCAAATTTATCGAGAAAGGTTTTAGGCTAAATGCGATATCCAACACAATAATCATATTTACTAACTAATAACTATATATTTGGCGTGTCGATTTTGTACAGGATCCAATAGTATCTTAAATTTAATATTGAATTAACTGGCGCCTTATAATATTTTTCACTAAAAATGTGTATATTAACATTTTTACAATATTATTTTACTTCTGAATGTACGTATCAGATGTTAGGAATCTATTTAATACAAGGACACTGCGGTGCCACACTTAAACCTAAGTAAAACTGTAAAAATCGCGGTGTGAAAACGTAACCCTAATTTTAACTATTCGAGGAACAAAATTTATTCCATAGTAGCTTTATTGTTTTATAATATAAATTCTTGTGAAAACACTGTAAGTAGTTTACGCGAGTAGTACAGATTTAAATAAAACACTAACGGCTTTGAACGCGGAATTTATTAGTTAATTGTCTCCCCATGATCACGACTGTTGCAAAGCATCCAAACGGCAGGTTGTAGTACAAATAATTTGTAAATAAGTTCAACAATTCGCGTTTTAAACCGTTAGTGTTTTATTTAAATAAATTATTATCTTTATTTCTATTGACTGCTGCTTTGAGACATTATTGCACATACCTTTATATAAATTAAATACGATGAGATGTGAGACTCGAACCAACATTATCAACATTATAGAACCCGGTAGCTCATTGATAAGAGTAACAGCACGGGTCGCGGGTACGAATCCCGCCTGTGTCAGTTACGTGCGAATCCAAAAAAAGCTTTTGTAAGTCTCGTTATGTTTTCATTTTGGATTATTGCACTTAAAACTACCTTTACATTTTAAAATTGTAAAATCAATAATCAGCTGAATATAATACTCAATTGTACAAAGGTAGCATATGAAGATAACTTGTTCACTTTACGGTTAATAGATTTTAGTTTTAAACAAATAAACAGTTTTTTCGCTTCTATTATGAGATTCAAAATATGAAAGACATCTTGGATTACAGATATGTTATCAATTTCGAAATCGGAACGTCTACCTTACATTATATACACGACATTAAAACTTTAACATGATTGTGTCGTCTTGTACCACGCCCTTCCCGTAATCCGTTTGAAATGCGATGGGCGTGGTCCCGTTTCAGGTGCACAGTCCAGAATTGTCCACCAGGGATCTAGCTAGAACATCCGCTGCGGCGATATCACTGACTTTACCTTCGAAATGTCCTCGTACGTGGAACATAAACTCCGCCTTCCCCGCAAACTCCTGCCGGCACATCAGGCAGAGGTGGTGGGCATGTGTGTGCTGTCGTTCCGGCGCGTAGTGTGTGTGTCCGTGGGTGAAGTACGTACCGGTCCCACCGTTCTCGTTGACCACTGTCGCGGTGGAAACGGACGCGGAGGCGATCCCGTGGCCGTTCAGGATTTGTTGGTTTTGATTGTGATGATGTAGAAGTTGCAACTTCTCCTGGTTCGTAAGGTGGACTTTCTCTTGTTGCTGGAATTGATTATTTACAACTTTATTACATTTACTGTTGTGTGTTGTTCGAAAACTTTAACATTTTTCACATGTTATTGCACACGATGGCACACATTTATATGGTGCCATCGTGTGCAATGTGTATTTATATAAAAACATATTTTTAATTTAAAACAGTTTTACGACACGGGCAGGGTTTGAACCGGCGTCGAAAGCATTCCGTTTTAAACAACATGAAGCTACCGTGTCATCTGTGTACCATACACGATGATGATACGGTATCTTGATTGGTTAGACCAACAGCTCAACAGCGGCTGTAGATGCCGTTTCAAGTCCTGTCTGTGGCGTAATTTTTTTCAATTAAAATTTACTCTGTTTTTTAAAATGACTCTGCGAACCGCAATGAAAAATAAAACGTTTTAAGGGACGTAAAGCAGTTCAAAGCCAAAGTTTCATAGAATTTTGAATCAGTAGTTAATCTTCCTCAAGTAGGCTTCTTTTTTTAATTTTTTATTATTATTAGACGCCTATATCTCGATAAAATTAGAGATTAATATTTTTATAACGATGTTTACTTTAGATCGCGTTCTTTACAATTCACTGTAGATAGATAACGTTAAATCTTTTATTACTCGCTAAGTACGTGCTTTTTCGTTTTTATTTTACTTATTTTCACTATAGCTACACGTATAGACATTTGGTTTCCTTTATGTTACTTATTATCAACTTCCCATGACTCAATGGTTGAACGTGTGGCTTGAAAACGTTAAGATGTCATGCATTCGAATCATGGAGATACAAAGTCAAGACCCAAATCAGGACCCACACGTTTGATCTACTTGTCTGTAAATATCGATCATCTGAACAGATACGGATATGTGTCTGTACAACTCCCAGACTTGGAAAACCTTACCTGATGTTGTGTAGCCTGCATCTTATCCTGTAAGAGTTTGTTGTCTGGTAGATGCGATTTGGCGTGAGCAGTCCACTCTTCCCGGGTCGCAAAAAGCCTTCCACAAAGTTCACACGACCATGAAACCACCATGCCCGCAGTAGCAGCCGCCACTGCTGCACTGGTGGCGCTGGTGTGTACTAGGTTTGTATTCTGGAATGTGTATTATATAAGAGAGTGAGTAATTTAGAAAATCATATTAGAGATAATATACCACAATTATTAACGCTTAAGCTGCTTTGTCGTGATATTTATATCGATAGTAATCTAACAACAATGACTATTGTATTTATTACAAAAATAAGATGCGAGAAAAACGAACAACTCATGCAAAGAACCTGGGCGACAAGCCAGGATTAGTCAAGTTTCTACTTACAACAGGAAATATTTAAAAGTAACAATATTTGTATCAAGACCTTTTTCGAAATGGAAGAAACAAATAACTCGTTAGGATGAGAGAAATCATGCCAGTATCATTAATAATAGAAGAACTTCTACTCAAAGTAAACTTCTTCCATGCCATGAATTCTCATGGGAATTTACCGTAAAGTTGTGTCCAGGTACCTGGCAGACCTGAATCGGCTGCTGATGGGAATGCTGCTGCTGTTGCTGCTGCTGCTGTTGTTGTTGTTGCTGCTGTCTGTTGTTGTTGCTGCTGTTGTTGCTGTTGCGCCGCTGCGACTGCAGCTATCTCGGCTTGGCTCGGCTTAGTGTCTTCTTGTTTTGTTAATTGAGGTTTCACGTCATCTAATTTAAGGGCTATAATTAAAAAAAGTAAACAGAATGCAATAAAGTCATTCGTATACTTAATCCACTTTAAAATACTAGAGAATAGTTAATTTTATGAATTTTGTTATATTTCCTTTTTACTATAGGATTAGTATGATAGACTTAATCTATCTATCATCTATATTATATTGCTAAAGTGTGTTATTGGTGTTTCATATTTAGTGTAGATTTGTAATAAGAAGCGTAGGACGGCGAAAACGTAACAAAATTATTAAGTATACTTAATACGCATGTTGATGATAGTGCATGAACTATAACACTTTTTGCAGTGAACTATAATAATAGATGTAATAAAAACTGGACTCACGAGGTATGGTTATTGTGCGTTTTCCTAGTGGAGCTATGTTGGACGGCGTAATGTGCTTGAGTTTATTCATATGTAGTACTAATTTATCTCTTCGTGCAAAGGCTTTATTGCATACTTCGCAAACATACGGTTTTTCACCTAAAAAAAAAAAAATAATGGTACTGACAAAAATATATACTTTGTTGTCCATTGTCTCGTACAAATCGTGCTATGTGTTACTTGGTGTTTTTAATCTTCTTCTCTAAGAATATCCAGTTCCAATCTGTAGTTTGGAATTAGGAGATTTCATTTGCCTCCTTATTAGAACGAAGTATGTAAGACTATTATATATAGCAATGATAACCTTTACAAAACTTATCTTTAATAGTATTTAACATTTTACCTGTATGGATTCTCATGTGAATTGTCAATTTATCCTTGCGAGCCAACCCTTTTCCACATACTGTACATTCGAACGCTTTGCTGCCTAAAATAGACACACAATTATAAATTAATAAATGTCATGTCCCATTCATACGTCATATTCAAGCATAAATTAGTCGACATTTGGTATATCAATTGAAATTCTTAATTATAATAGATTTCTGATAAACGTGTGTGCGTGTCTTTTCTAGGAAAATATTCTTACCTTCATTAGTAGAACTAGTAGGTTTTATCGCAGGATGTTTTCGTACAACAGCAGATCCTTGTAATGCCTTTAAACGTGTCCCAGGATGCATCGATCCACCCTCAGTGTAAGGTTCGGTAAAAGGTATCAAATTAGGCCTCGGTATTGTATTTGTTACTTCCGGCGACCTGTAGACGATGTCGTAACTAAAAGCGTCTATTAATTGTAATATGCCGAATGGAGAACTAATAATGTAATTTAAAGCAATTTTTAATGTCATTTGGTCAGATGTTGTCGCTAATTGTTGGGAGTATAATACAAGAAAAAGAATAGAATCTCTCTATAATCTACTTCTGCTTTTATGTTAAATCGTTGTTGGTTGTGGGCATAATTCCATTTAAGTACCATCTATTACTATACGTAGTTACTGTAGAATTCACACACAACAAAGGTGACGTTTTTTGAGAACTACGCTATCAGTGTACCCAATAGTAAATGTACTTAATACTTTTAGATTTAATTTGCATTGTATCCAAAACAATTACTGAAGTAGTACAGTAGTACACTAGACGAGTATATTCCAGAAAAAGAAATTAGTTAAACTAAAATTGCAATAATTACTTTTAGTAAAATAAACCCTTAAGCCTACCCTCTCAGCATACACCTATGCTGAGAGGGTAGGCCGACCAAATGACGATAAAAGCGGGTGCGTGATCATAATGATGAATGTCTTTACCAATTCCCAAGGCTTTGTAGTACACGGACGCCTCCTTCGAAGCCCATTCCTACATCATCTGGTACGGTAAAGGTGGAATCTGGTCCACCGGTGCTGGAGCTTACTTGTGGTACTTTAATGGGGGAATTAATCGTGGTATAGTGGTGTTGCGTGGAGCTCACAGTTGGAGGAGATGGATGGCCTGGGTGTGTACTAGCGCTTTGCGCTTGCTGTTGTTGCTAAAAAGTAATATAAAAACTTATGAGGAATGGACTTTTGCTATCTTTATATTAAAGAACAGAGTGACAAAAACATGAATAGTTCAATAATATTCACCATTTGATTAAAAAGTTTTTTTACCTGCATTTCCTGATGGTGTCGTGTATTACTCGTATTATTATTTTGTTGTTGTTGCTGTTGATGGTGCTGTTGCTGTTGTTGTTGCTGCTGTTGTTGTTGTTGTTGCTGCTGTTGTTGCTGCTGCTGCTGTTGTTGCTGTTGCTGTTGTTGTTGCTGTTGTTGTTGTTGCTGCTGTTGCTGCTGTTGCTGTTGTTCACGTCGAGCAGCCGCAGCTGCCTGGGCCATATGCTGCTGAACAGCTACGTGTGCTTCTAAATATGCAGTTTTTTGTGCTTCAGTCATTTTATCCATATTCACCGTTCCATCCTGAAAAGAGACAAAAAATATTATCCAACAGAAGTCAATTTTAAAATAGATATACATAAAATTGGTTGGATTAATCATGTTTACATTGTAAACGTTTAGTTTATGGCAAACATATTTAAAAACTTTTATATTTTCGCATGGTATTGACTGCACTATAAAAACGACACGGTAGCTCAAACGATTAGAGCAAGGCGAAACGCTGTGAATGCCGGTTCAATTCCTGCCCGTGTCGTATTTTTTTTTCAATCTCTAATCGATTTCTAATTCAAACAAATATATAATATAAGCCGTCGCAATACAAGCAAAACACTCGTTTCCGTTTTTGCTTCCTCCTACGCACCTACCTACTTCCCGCCTCGAGCGTCTTTGATGCGTTCGGAGGGCCCACCCTCAGTGCATTCACCCCAGAAAGTGAGAACAACCCCCTGCCTACTTTCATTCCATAACACGATCGAACACCCTACGCTTAATTGCCTAAATTCGGCAAGGGACGGGTTCAACGAACTCCTAGAAAATAGGGAAACGACATTTTCACTCGTTGCTAAGGAAGGAACGTAAACAAAGCACGCTTTAGCATTGGTTTAACAAATTATCAAGTTTGTCTACGCTACAGTATATAAAAACATTTAAGCACAAAAACTACCGTCACTTTCACTAGGTATCTACTTAAAAAAGTTTGGGTAAAAAAGTGGGTAGTACGCATAAATATACATTGACAATTGTTTGTTTTTTTATTATTTTTGACACGTGTTTTAAATATATATATCTTTTTAAATGTTACTATTTCCCTTTTATAATGTATGTTTGTTTTTATTATAATATAAATAATATTTGATTTGTGTAATTTTTTTAACTTACTAAGATCGAGATATGTATTATTATTATTTTTAAGAAATCTTAAGTTCATTTAAATACAATATTTTTAACGATATAAACCGCAAATTGAGCAAAATGCGAAACGTGTATTAGTTAAAATTGTTTTATTTAAATGTATACTACTTGCGTAAACTACACGCAATATTTATCTTAAGTACATATTATCCAAGATTTCCAAAAACCCTAGGTGTCAGACGTCCCCATTCCCCCCTTCGTATGCAAATCGCTACCTACGCATATTTATAAGTATCTCATTATGAAGGACACTCTAACGATCAAAATTCGCCAATCCATTGTTTGGGGGTCCACCCTTCATAGATACGAGAAGGGAACTGCCCTTATCACTCTGATTAAAAGCAAACTACCCTTAGGGTTTGCATATGACGCTTGGCTCAAGGCGCGCCACGTGATTTTGAGTGTTCGGCCATTAATTACGACTGGATTCGTCATGTTTGCATGCATGCATGTAAAAGACAGCCTTTCATATAATAATAACGATACACAGACAGCTACTTGATATAAACGTCACAGACAAAAAAAAATTAAAAACAATTTTCGAAATAAAATTTTTTATCAATTGAAAAAAAAACTAGCTTTTATTATAAATCTGGCACATTTTCACTAAATTGCTATGTTCAGCTTTACATTTGAATAAATAGGTACCTACAAGTCATTTTCTATTCAAACATATAAATATGTAAAAGTTAATATGACAGACCATGCAAAACGTGTTTTCTAAAAAAGTTACCTTTGAGAAAAGAGTGTCTCCCATTGACAGTAAAATATAACATTCATTTTATATAAAATGTAATATAATTATTTTCTCTACACACAAATGAAAGTACGAACCCAAATAAACACGTCGTTACAAACTGCCGCCATTTTTACAAATCCACTTGAAAAGTTTATTCACAATTTAGAAATGAAATTTTAATTCATAGTCTGATGTTACAGCTGTAAAACTAGTTTGAATGAATGAGTGAATGAGATTGATGCACTGAATGTAATGGATATATTGAAGAGAGTGGACAAATACGGGCACTCTGCTTGATTTCTAAGTTACAAGTGTAGGCGGACCACGAGCATCGCTTTATTGCACTTACACCCTTAATTTCTCGGAGGGTTGAAGTCTCTTACAGTATCTACGACGTAGACGTCTGTGATACATTGACAAACAATTTTTAAAGTTATTAAAATGTAAAACGTGAATTATAATTGAAATAAAGATAGTTTTTGTAAAACTTATTTTGTATATCTTTTTTAGTTACATTCACAATTTCACAATCATATCGGCATGGATTTATGATGCAATATTCTTATAAATTTTTTTTTAATAACCAAAATTAATGTCTTATATAAAATAAATTGTAATGTGCTGTTTTAGTATTAATTAATTATATATAAAACATTTTCCTCTAAGTATTTTTCTATGCCCTTGCTTAGCCTATTAGTGGATGCAAAGTAATTTGCACTTAACTAACAAGATGTTATTTATAGCGCCAGCTCAAAAGTTCAAGGTAACAGCTATTGTGTGTTACATGAAAACTATGAACTTAATTTGTTACCTTGACACAAAATGTACTTATCGTGTAACTTTTGAATTCATTTCATTCACATTAGGAACCATAAACTAAAAAAATAGGAATTAAAAAGACCCAGACATTTGAACAGTCTCTATACTAGACTCTATATAAAATTATTAATTTTATCTTTTTTGGACTAATGGTGGGACAAATTTAAAAATATATGTTATTTTTATTTTTGATATGGACAAACATAGTTTATATTAACGTCAATATCCAGTATTTAGATTTTTTTTTGGACAGAAGCTTACACTCTTAAAGGCTACTAGTGCCCCAGAAATCTTTCCTCAAACAAGGGAGGCCACATTAAGTCTATTTTTGATCAGTCCCGTTTAGGAATGTGGAAGCGCAGTGCAAGTGATGCTCTGGGGTGCTCCAGACCCCCTCGGGTGGCGGGAGGCCGTAGTAGGAATATCCTTCACCCGCTAGGTCAGGGTTAAATGTGCCCCCGGCTCGGGAGCCTTCGACCTTCAGCCGATGCGTGCGTTGCACTACTTGCATACCACCCACCATAAACAAAATTACTCCTTACTCTAACACGTTAAAATACGTCGAGTTTAAGCACGTGAAACTATTAATAAATATTACGTAATTAGATCGAGAGGGCATTGGCATGATAGCTTCTCTGCCGAGCTCCGATTCAGGTTCTATTTCAGTTGAATAATTGTGATTTATTTAATTTTAATAATCTTTATGCATTTTGAATACCTTTAAAGTGACTTAAAGGAGCAGAAAAATGACAGTTAAACTGTCTATTCAAGTCGCATTAATTTAGTAAGTCGTAACTTTTGCTACGCTGAAAACGCTACTATTAGTATTGTAAGTACCTTTTTGCTTCAAGAATTGTTGAACAAGAACAGACACTCATTATAATTTCTTTACCTATATACCAGTCTACTGTGTTTTATTTGCGGTTTCAAATACCTTGACTTCACGGCTCTTAAATCCTCATAAAATGACACGTCGTTCCCATAACAAATTCATAAACCTGGCTAGTCCATTACAAAGAGACTGTATGTCCCTCTCATTTCAAATAGCAACGACAAAGACGGACAATAGTTACCTTCAGCAGAAGTAAACGCATAACCCTATTGATCGGATAATAAGACAAAAGTCAATAAAGACAAAACATTCTGGACATGCGTATCAACTAGCAATACGAAATCGTATGGCATTCGGAAAACCTTACGACTACCTTATTAAAGTAGACAGTCTATTTCACTTGAAGACAAGAGGAGTGCAGTCAATAATGACTCGTAAACCACTTTAATTGGGTCCGGAATCGTTTGTAGCGATTACACTGCGTTAGTAGATGGAATTTTGGGTGTTGTACGTTACGAGATAAGGTCGAAATTTGTTTATTTATCGTTTGGGTGGTAGTTGGGTCGATAAACGCCGGGCGCTGCAGATCGATAGAGGGGCGCGCTGTGCATTGCTGCCGACTTGCCGACACCGAACGGGCTCTAGGAATTCTTTCGACTTTCGAGTTCCGACAGAACAATCACAGCCTAATCGATCCTCATTTTCATCTTAATAACGACGTAAAGAGTTCTTTGAAGTCTTTGTTGAAAGCTCTACGCAAACAGATAAAATGGAATGTTTTCATTTACGTCTAGAGTTTTAATTACTGAATTGTAGCGTTTCTGAATTTTTAATCAAGCTATTGATTTTTCATTTGTCTACAATTTTAAATAGTAATCGATTCGTTGCTATAATTATACATCGATGTTTTATCAAGTTTTGTATCTATATGTTTCTATTGATTATTTAATAACCGTCTTATCTGTGGTATAGATTATTTTGGCAATATGAGTGGAAATTTCTAGAAAAAACCAATACAAACGAACTCAAGGACATAGATTTGTGAGTAGCTTTCTGTTTTGAATTAAGGAAGACTAAACATTTGATTAGTTGATTGTTGCTAATTGAATTTGAGACTATTTTAAAACGTAAACACGGGTGTTATTTAAGTTTTGTGGGTCATAAACATGGGATTTCTCCAACCTTAGGTTATTGACACTATTCCTGCGTGTATTTAGGACGTATATTGTTTACTACGGGCAAGAATGTATATGTAGTCATAAATATTGTCTGTAGTTTTCGCGTAGTGCCTTTAGTTTATTGCACATATTTAAATAAATCTGTATAACGTGACCACGACTACTGCAAAGCATCCGAAACATAGGATAAACATAGCATAGTTAAAATAAGTTACTGAATATATTTCGCGTTTTAAGCCGTTAACAGTGTTTTATTTAAATATTTCGTTACAAGTAACTAAATTAAAATCTTTTGCAACTTACCTGAAAGTTGATAGTGGATGTGACGATTCGCATGGACTCAGCATAGTTCCGGAGCACCGAATCTGTGTTAAGGCAACTTTGCCGCCACTCGTAGAGCTGCTCCAACCGCGTGATGCATCTTTCACAGATCTTCTTCGGCAGAAAGTCGTCTTTCGATATCTGCTGAAGAGATTAGTTTAAGTTCATTAAATTATTAAAAGAAGAAATAGATAAGAAATAAATAGTATTTTAGTTATAAAGAAATTCTTACTTGAAACAAATTAACATTACATATTTATCTTTTCTTCACATTCTAAGTAGCTTTGAAATCCGAAGGATTATATTTTATGATAAAGGTAGACAGACAAACATCGGGTTCACTTACTAGACATCGTTTGCCTTTGAGTATTACATACTTTATTTTAAAAATAAATAATATATTTTGAGTGAGACATATTCCCGAACGCGTACCCTTTATTTAACGTGTCAAAACTTGGTAGTTAGTTTATCGATAAAGAATGTGTGTTTTCGGTTCACACGAGAGAATCACGAATTATTGTCTACCTAAAAAAACGCTTGTAATTTTTCCATTATGACAATTAAATAAAATTTTATTAATAATAATAATTAAGCTTTTTGTGTTATTTTCTACAAATCGGAGCTTGGTATGAATAAAATGTTATTGTAGCGCAGAATTTCGCTTTCATCAAAGAATTTATTTTTGTTTACATATCCGTATCCACAATTCGCAATGATGGCATTCAATTCCAGTAGTTTTATTCATCATAATTCTCTTCATAAAAGCCGCGGCAAATTACATATTTTTATTTACGAATATCCAAAGTATTTAATTTGTAAAAAGTTATATGAGTGTAGAATGTTGAGTTTTATGAGACAATATTTAATAATTATATGACTATTATATCGAAATAAATAGTAACATGTTTTTGTATTTATTTACAAACTAATTTTGTTTGACACTAAGTCGAGACTAATGAACGATGATATCAAATGATTTTTTATAATGATGCAGGGACACAAGATTTATAAAATTTAGTAAATTACAATAAAAATGAAATTCCATTAATATGATATTGGATATTGTATAAATATTGTAAGGACAAACATACGGACGGTTAACAGAGCGTATGGATTACATTTCCAAACGCGTGCCGCGTGTTGCCCTAAACCAAAATAAATATTGCAGAAAAAATACAAACAAAATTAATTTTCTCTACACTATATTTTTCCTAATAGAAATGATATATTGTCGTTTGTTAATACGAAAAATATTCTTAAATAATTTTAAATATAATATAAAATGATCATAGCTATTATATGTAAAAGAAGTATAATGTGCTCAAATACTTGTAGTTTTTTCTAATTTTCACGACTATTTTATTTAGAAAAGGCACTGTAATTAAAAAAATATATTAGATTTTGTTTATAAAGATTGAAGGCATAATTTTTGACGTAAATTGTATTTTCACTTGTCGGTAAAAACTACATCAACAGGTAATACCTGCCGTACTTGTCTACGTCTTCTAAGTTCTTTGTCGTAGCCCGTAGGCCGTAGCACGCAGGCGCCTACGGAAAACCTAACCGCATTTGTAGCTCTAACGTCTACGAAACTGTGTAGGCCTAACGCCACTATCGGAGGCTACAATGCTATCTAGTGATAAACCGTATGAGATTACGTAGTGATAATGTAAGTATTGGGGTATAGGGGAATTTGATTCTAACTCTAGGTAAAATCGATGGCAAATAAAGCTCAATTGAATCGAGTTAAAATGTGATTTATTGGAAAAACTATGACCGTGACCGTGACCACAGTCGGTAAACTTAGAATTAAATTGCGTTTTCCACCCGTTTAAAACAGTTTTAATGAGATAGGACGAATCATGGTCACTCACCATAGTGGGTAAACAAGTGCGGAGTTTGAATAGAATCTGCCTCTGCTCCGCTTCCTTGTCGAAGATGTGGAGTCGCGGGCCACTCTTGAGCGAGCAGAGGCGGCAGAGGTCTGTGAACGCGGTGAAGTTCAGGTCCTCGGGCTCGGTCATCGCGAAGCACCGGATCAGCAAATCGAGGAGGCAGGAGTTGTCCATGTATGCGGCGGAGGCGTCGGGTGGCGGGAGACGTTAGCGGCTCATCGCTCGGGGAGGCGTCACGCCGCCACTGCGCTCGGGGGGCACTGGGGCCTGGCCCGAGCCTCCCCCGCCCCCTCGCGGCCCCCGGACCCCTCGCGCCACAGCGATCACCCCCCCGCGCCGTGAGGAAAATGCGTGCCACTTTTTCCCCCGTCTGCGATCGCTAATTCTATTGATTGTGATGTCTTGATTATTGTTACGTGCTATTGAATATGGACACGGAAGATGTTCTATGTTCTACTTTTAATTGTTTCTTTTAAGACAACGAACGAGTCAAACCACATGTAATCTTAGAATATCTCACACATAACATCCCCATATCACCATACACCTTTTAAAAGTAGATGATATATATGGTAAAAAATTTTACCTACACTTGTTGTATGCCGATATTTTTTAATGTTTAAAAATGTGCATATTGAATCAAAACTCAAATACAAGTAAAAAATATAAAACCTCTGAAAAATTACCGTGACACCTTTGTCATTGTAAGCTATAATTCATTTGAAAGTGGACAATTGTATTAAAAGTTTCTAGATTTTGCAGACATTAAATAATTATGTCGATACCATCATCAGAAACAGTATTAGGAGGACTCGCTTACTCTGAACGGACATTGGCTATTATAAAACCAGAGGCTTATGAAAACGCCGAGGACATTGAGAACCATATACGGCTAAATGGCTTTACAATACTGGCGGTAAAGTGCACTTAGTAAATTATAATTCAAGTTTCAAATATCTTCCATCGGTCCGTAAGAATATCAATTTTATTTTGAACTAGCTGTGTGTAGCGACTTCGGCCGCGTAAAATAGTTATTTTGGGCATCAATTTTTTTTTAACTGTTACCGAACGAGTTCCATCGCTCGCGGCCCATTCGTTCGGTTCCCGTCATTCTTGCGAATTCACATATTTTTTGTGTATCCTGAATCATTTTCGCAGCATAGGCATCGGAAACCTACAAAGATGATTAATTTTCCCTGTGTTTACCGCATTTTCCGCTGTTTCTTCACAATTTTCTTCTTAACAAAAAAGGAATTTTTCAATTAGAACCAGTCGTTTTTGAGATTAGCGCGTTCAAACAAACAAACTCTTTAGCTTTATATATTAGTACTGATTGAAGATATCAAGACATAACCTAAAGAGATCATAGTTATACATAATACGCCACTATACCGAATATCAGAATATTGATTTCAGTAAAACACTTTAACGTGGAATATATTGATTGGCTTATTTTTAACTACGGCCCGACGTTCCTAATACTATAGCAGCAACCTGATAACTAATATATTTCGCGTTTTAAACCATTAAAAGTGTTTTATTTGCGTACTCACGTAACTACAGATAACACTAAAGTAGATTATTTTTTCAACAACATTATTTTTGTGGAATAAACTGTTACTTATTTTTCTATTAATTTTTACATTATAATATTCATAAAAAGATTTAACGGCTGGACAAATTTTGATAAAATTTTACAGTTACCGCCGAAAATAAGTGTAATAAAATGATAACCTTTGCAATGTCTTATCGTTACAAACTTACGAACAGGTAAGCGAATCGTGTCGAATTGTTTTTTTTAATATTTTTAAACGAAATGTAATCAGTAGTCTATCAAGATAGAATGACAAAAACTCATAAATGTGGAAATGAAGGTCGTAGAATGGGGTTTATCTATCATAGGGCTTAATCGCCATTAGAGTGAGTCATATTTGAACAACTGACGCCATCATAAAGTATTACTTTGTGCTTTCAATGTTGGAGTGAAATATTGACGTTTCATAGTATCTATAGAAAGCATTAAACGATTCTGTGACGTCATAAATCGTAGATGCTAGTTAAATGTAAAAGTTTGTGGAGATAATAAAATTTTTGTTACAATTTAAACTGTTAGAACAAAACGGTTAAACGAATTTTAATGTTGATAAAATTGAATATCACTCCATAGTATTAAACAAAGTCACTTGTTTTGTCCCTATATCCCTATCTACGCTTACTCTTTAAAACTACGCAACAGATTTCGATGCGTTTTTTTAATCGGTAAAGTGATTCAAGAGGAAGGTAATATATAATAACATCCATTAAATAGTGGAGTATTACTGTTATTTTTAAGGTTTTAAATGTGATCATTTATTTTTATTCGCTTATACATATTTAAATAAAACACTTTAACGGTTTAAAACGCGATATATTAGTTAAATTTATTTGAAAAATTTAACTAATATATCGCGTTTTAAACCGTTAAAGTGCTTTATTTAAATGTGTACTACTCGGGTAAACTATAGACAGTATTTTTCGCTTATACATTGCAAACGCAGGCTTAACTCTACAAGATTTATCAAAATAATGCACTAAGTATTGTACACGTTAAAAGGCCTACAGAAAATTCCGCATTAGTATATCTCTTACGGATATCTTAATTTTTGAAACGATTTCAACAAATACAGCAGTTACCCTTATCCAATTAAATGCCTTAAATACATTGTTAGTTTAATAATGTATCTATATGGCTCGCATATGATTGAAATGAATATTTTCGAAGATACAGATTTCGAAATTACGGGCGTAGCGTTTGCGGTGGTATCGGCCGGACCAAAGCCGGAGCGGGCCACTTTTATATATACAAGTTTTTCTGTAGTGTATGTAATATCATCATTGCACCCGAGCGAAGCCGGGAGCGGGTGGCCAGTAAAATATATTTTAGGGCTGACTAACCATTAACACAGGCGGGCTCGCTGTTTAAACGGTTCGAAGCCCACCGGATCCAACATTTTCATCAAATCATAATTTTTTCGAAACATGTTGGATTTCTTTTGGGAATCACATTAAATGGATGGTGGATGAAGAACCACCGTTCACAGATGAAAAAGCTGAAGTTTCGCATTACGGTTTCTGTCTGTGTATCAAAAATCTTAGCGGCCTCAATTACCCAATAACAAAAAGAATCTAGTGCTAGCATCAAATCAAAATTTTAGCTATACCACAAACAGTCAATCGAACAAGCACAGACAAAAATTTTAATAATTACTTTTGTATCAACCCCATCATTGCGCATTATAGAAGCTTAACAGAGGGCAAGGCGCGGTAGTAAATGGGGGGGAAAAGAAGTTATACAATTCTGGGTGTGAATATGCAAAGACAATATTGAAATTACATCGCGGTAGATGTGCTTGTATGTTATATATATACGTTAAATAAATGGACGATGCCGTTAAGTCCTGCCTGAGTCGTAAAATTATCGATTCTCGATCTTTTCGATTTTTAAAAGACAATATTTTTTAAATTGATATACACTTGCATGTGAATTATAATAATTACTTCGTGCGTAATTCATTCTTATACATGTAGAGAGCCCACGAACCAAAGGAATATAGGGGAAGACCGAATCCGCGTGGCTATGGGGTCGTATGCAAAATTCAAATCAGCGAGGAGTAAAAGCAAGGGTTGCGCTCATTATTTCAAGTCACCAACAGCGACCGACCCTTAAGTTTTTAGGGCTGCTATGTAAAATTAAAAAAAACTTTATTTTTAATATCTTAAATTGTTGTAGTAATAAAAAAGTTGTGTATTATTACTATTTTACTAGTTGATACGTATGTTATTTTCAAGGTTATATATTTACTACCTAAAGCTACATCGCTTTATTTGTATTAAATAAATGGTCTTATCTTTTATAAATTAAAAATCGATTACAAATTTACAACTAAGGCAGTACTTAAACCGGCATCCTCAGCGTTCCGCGCTGTTACTCGAACGAAAAGAGCTACCGAATCCTACACGTCATCGTCGAAATTTTTCCATCTATTGATACACCTCTCGCGCAATATAATTTCAATCATGACACTTACGAATTAAGGTCTTATCTTATTCTCTGTAAAGATTACCTATACCTTATAGCTTAATATCAAATTAACCTAGCTTACCTGGGAGTTGTTCTATGATAATCGTTATTCTATCGCAATAAAAAAAATTATGAAAATATCGATGAGTTTGATAAAATATTAAAGTTATAAACACCGTACATTATACATTTTTTAAAGATATAACGTTATTAAGTTATCTATATCTACCTTATTTGTCAATACTGTAATAGTATAGTGTCGTAAAAATGATTTACGAGTATATATTTTAAAGTTAGCGACAACCCTACAATAGTCAACTCGTCCCCTTCAAAACGGTCAGTTCTGTTATCTATGAAATGGAAACCATACAAAAATAATTATTACAAGCTTTACGTTTCTGTGGACGATTGAAATCACTATATTCGTGGCATATAAGTTTTTAAAAACCTTTGAGAAAAATGGGTTTTAAAAGTTTAATGTCTTTCACATGTTTAATGCACATAATGGCACTATATAAATTAAAAATCAAGTCCTACCCGTGTCGTCAATATTTTTTAATCTATTATCGATTTTTAATTTAGAAGGTCTTTAAAGTTCTCCAAAATGGACATATTTTCTTTTAAATGAAACACGTTAACGGTTTAAAACGGCTGAGACACGGCTGCTTCAAAGCAACCGAAACTCACGTCATTCCAAGTTTCATTAAAATACAACGCGTTTTAAACCGTTAAAGTGTTTTATTAAAATATGTACTACTCGCGTAAACTACAGATAGTATAACTTCATTTAATTATTTATGAAATATGAAAAACAAACCACTATCCACAAACCACCAACTCAGATTTCAGGTCTTGAATTTCCAATTGTCCAAAGCCGACAAGAGACAATCCGTCCTCGTCTGTAATAAAAAAAAGTTTGAACAAATAAAAAGGAGAGATAATAATAAATGAAAACATTTTCCTAAGAACTATTTACCGGGATTTACAACCTAACTATTGCTAATCTTTAAAAACTTTGGTGTAAAATAAAAATAGTACGTAAAAAGGTAGACCCAATACTTTGTATGATTTGTAATAGTAAATAAGAAAGTATCCCAGATTCCTTCGGACAGACGAAAGACCCCCTTTGTCCCTCGCTGGTTAGCCACTAAGTTCTGTAGGAGCATCGTTCATCAACTGCACTTTTTTAGAGACGCGAAGTGCACCTCACCCCAGAACACGCGGCTGAGTTATACAAAGGTCACTATGGCAGGCACCACTTCCCTCATCTCGTTGCTCACATGTCAAGTGGAGCTATAATCGCAATGGTTCTGGCTGCTAAGAATTGCATTAGCAAGTGGAAAACGCTCATGGGGCCGGCTAGGTAACGAACGATGTAATTTTAAGTCATTAAAAATTGTATTTTCATATGAACACATAGGTATTTTTTAACATCAGCTCTACTGTGTAATAAAAAACAATTAAATCACGTTTCAGTCTGTGGATTTCCGAATTTGGTCAAAGTAGATCGACAGCGTATCTTGTTTAGATATTATTTTCCTGCGTAAGTAAACTTAATGGTTGTCTGAGTCATAAAACAGTAAGGACATATATATTTTATAACTATAAGAAAACCTTCGTCTCTTTTTCTTTCTTATAATATATATCGACACTACTTTGGCCTTCCGTTTTAAAAAATAACTTTAGAAATCTTTTAGGCGTGTGTAAAGTGTAAGATTTTTTTGTCACTCAACAATTGTTTTTAAATCTGAAACGCGGTCGAGACACAAGAACCCCTTTAGACAGTATCAAAATATTTTTTTTATTTCTTTACTGACTGCTTGCCATCACGTGAAGATATCTTTAATAAAACACAATACTTACTCTACTGTGTTTAATATAAAATTAATAAATACTATAAATAAAATGTTACTGTCTCTCTCTTAATACATTTAAACATAACAAAAGATGTTTTGTCCGTTTAGCGAAGCTGTACAAAAACTCGACCTTATTAAATATTTATCTTAAATTAAACAGAGTTGTAGAAGCGCAAGCATACTGGCCGGACAGCCTACGCGCGTGTTACGGCCGACGAGCGAAATATGGCGATTATTTTAACGGAGTGCACGGAAGCGCTAATCTCGCTGAAGCTATTAGGGAGATACATTTCTTTTTTCCAGCTAGTGAGTATATTTTTTACTATTTAACGTTACACATTTGTAATGTAACAGTAATTGAGAACTGTTATGGTATACGATGTAACATTATTTTTTGTTCCGACTTGTTTTAAAACATTTTTATAGAAACAACTTCAATCCACGTAGAATAATAAAAAGTTAAGATAGGTATTGTATGTAGTACCTATAAAACATATATAAACCCTAAGGAAATAAATAATATTATATTGAATAAAGACAAATTACAGCGCATCGCTTGTCTGTCTTCCTCTATGGTAAAAAAGATTTGGAGAGACCTTTGGCTATAAAATTCCGCTTATATTGTATGAAGTAAAAACAGCTAAACTATAAAATATTTATCCAAAGTGTTTACATCTCCGTCAATACCACTATTTCAGACTTATTAATACAATCCTCGGTAGTATAGTGGTCAGTATCCCCGCCTGTCACGCGGGAGACCGGGGTTCGATTCCCCGCCGTGGAGTTCCTTTTTATTTTTTTTCTGTGCATATTTTAACAGTTCTATCATTTAAACACATTTTACTTATAAATATTGAATTTTAAACGTATCAATTTTTTTTAACCAAATGAAATTGGTACAAATTTTTTTCATCTTAAATTATTTTTTGACGTGCTTTAATGGTAGAAATGTATAGCTAATATTCATCCACTCGTGTCCACTATTGGTCCTATTTGTTTTAAAAGATTTTTTTTCCTGAAACATGTTGAAGTTGTCTTAAAACCTGGATCCGGGTAAAACAGCTGTAAAGTTAAATCGCGTTTCGGTTTCAGTCTGCGCATTTCCTAATATGAAAAGCTATAATAGGTCGACAGTGCATTTTCTTTAGATGTTATATGGCTGGGGTATTTCACACTCTATCGAGTGAACCTGCTTGTTTGACTTCTAACTTATGAAAAATATGTTAAGTATCTTGAGTAAGTACTTAGAATCTAGTGTGACATTTTTATTTTCTGACATACAGTGATAGTCGGGCCAATACTACGAGGACCACAGGTAGCGGACTATGTACAGAAGTACATCACCCCAACCCTGCTACCAGCGCTCACAGCCCTAGCGCAAGAGCGGCCCGCAGAACCGATTATGTGGCTCGCGGATCATTTGTATAAGCACAACCCTAACGAACCGGAACTAGCTCCCCAGGCGCGGGAAATGAGAGAAGACGCGCGATGTCACACCCCCCGTACCCTCAGAGGAATCGGACAAATGAAGATTTTAAAACTGTCATGCTATAATTTTTTTATTACCGTTTTTACTGGCTATTTCGTTATTTATTTATAAGACAGTTACGATTAAGTTTTTCTTTAATTCGAATATATTTATCGTTCTTTTACTGATATTCAATCTAGTACAAGGTCTAACTATCCTGAACACAAAAATTTTTAAATTGTAAGGAAAATTTAAAAGACAGAATAAGACCAAAAAAGTCTGAATTAAACATCAAGTTGAGTACTTAATTTACTTTATTGCAAAAAGAAAAACATCAATTCAGTCTCTTCTTCACGAAGCCATAAAATAGAAACTTTCTATAATTCTAATAAATTTTCTCATAAGACTACAACGCAATGATAAATTTTAATACACTTGAAATAAAACAACATTTTCACACTAGTTTTATTGGTTCAACAAGAAAAAACAATATCACAGAATAATACAAATATAATAATTACGTAATTATTAATATTAAATGGAAAATCTAAGACTTTCAAAATAGCAAGTGTGACTACGTACTAACATAAAAAATAATATTAAAACTAATATAAGAGCAAGTTAGAGCTAAAACATGATTAATAATCATTATTGGGAGCTGAACACAATTATTGTGAGTTTAAGTCAGTCAATATTCAGAAATGCCTTTTCAATCTGTATTAAAATCGCCTAAAAAATAAAAACACGTCCTACACCCATAATCGATAAAAAAAAATCAAAGTAAAATTGAGTATTTCTTTATACCGAAGTGTAATTAATATTAAGTACTCACTTCTGCAAATAAAAGACATGTCTTCTTGTAGATATCAAAATATCTTCTCATTTTTTAAATATTATTAGAATTTATGATTTTTAATATATATTATAAAACAGCTCAAAACCTAAATAACCTAGTCAGTCAGCGAATCATCAGTCCATAATATTTTTCATATTGGGCTTTAACTTTGCTTCTGAATTCAATGTGAGGAAGTTACTAAACTCAACCCCTATGTTTAAATTATCTAAAACTAAAATATCAGTTATAATTGGAAACTTCACTATGAAATATAATTATTGTTGTATTGAGTTTTTTCTGGTCTCTAGCCTGGAATGAGAAAAAAAGTTATACATTATATTTTTAGTTTAATAAGAAAACGTTGAGTATTAGAATGAACTAAAAAAAAAAAAACAGTTTCGCGTGATAGTGTACTTGCAATGCTTTTGGCATAAATAAGCTTGGATAAAAAAAAATTCAATAATGTTGTTGATAGTTGATATAAGCCATGCTTTATTAGTATAAGTACCGGCTCGGATCTTTAGCGCTGAACGAATCCTGCGCAGAAGTCAAAAATAAAGTATAGAAGGGACGGAAGCGGGCGCGGGGCGAGTGAACGTCATATGCTCTAGCGTTGATTGGTTCCCCAGTGGTGTCGTCTTTCTCAGACCAATAAGACGATCCGCTGCTTCTCGAGTACAGACACGTTTTCCAATCAATTACGTGCGCGATTGTACAGATGCGCAACTATTCCCTTCTACTCTTCGTTTAGCGCTAAACATCAGTGCCGCGACCTATATATGAGCTACATATTTACCTTATAATCCTTTAGTATCAATTCTAAATTCCTTGTTGCAGCTGTTACAACAGTGTAATTTACAATGTAGTCTAGTCATGAAATTGCATTATAATCTGACATCAGTTTTTGGGCATGGTGGGTGTGGTGTTTTTTACATGTAATACACCACACTCTGCTAGAGATCATATTTAATGATCTTTGAGCCTCTTTTTTAGGTGTTGCACTTGTTCGCTGAGTTCATTGTTGCTATATAACAGCTCGAGACTGATGGTGAGTTTTTCTTTCAACATATTTCTGTATTCCGGCTTCTGAAGTGCTAATAAAGTGTGCTCTGAGCAGAGTACTGATTTCTTATTAAGGAGACCACGGCCCTGTAGAGAATGATAAATATATATATATATATATTTAACAAATAACTATATGCTATGAACTACGAAGAGAAACATACCCATGATAAATATAGACTTTTACGGCATATTTCGCACTCCTCCTGAACTTCGATCTTTGATGCACGTTGTATGTTCTGATAAAAAAAACAACACTTTAATGGTTTAAAGACCTTTAGGCGGAGAAGTGTGTATATGTATATATACATATATATATATATATTATATAGACGTTAAATATCTAACATGGCGTGGCGGCGTTGGGCGTCGGCACCTTCGCGATTGATGGGCCTCGCGATATTTTTTAAATTTTCGTAATCAGAGTACATTGAGTTATAATTATTTATGAAAGCCGAAATCCGAAATGTTCATGTATGTAATTGTCTATTTATGACTAGAAAAGAAGGCGAATCCTAATTACGTCGTCGTCGTCGACGCGTGGTCTAACGCCGCTACCAAATGTTTTCGTCTCAAGTAAATAACAGCGAAATACTTGTCAGTACATAACATATACATGGTTTGAATATTTAGTTAATAATATAAGTCAATTTCACCTTTAAGCCAATTTTGCGGAGTTCCCGTCTATTCCTAAGTTCATCTTCGATGATGTCATTGAAAAGAGTTTGTATTTCCTTGAGGACTTCGACGGGCGTTGAGGCGTCTTTTACAAACGACAATAGCAGTTGTTCCAGGGGAAACATCGATGGCTCACAGCTATTGCGCAGTTGCTGTAAATAATAATCATAGAAAAAGTTAATATTTGTTTTTAACATTCTTTCATACTATATTTTATTATTTCTTGAATCGCTTTCACGCTTTCACGGAGTTCACGCATCGAAGCGCCTTTTCACTGATAATCTGAAAAATTTAGGCTACAGATATAGCCTAAATCCTTCGTCGATAAATGGTTTATCCAACACCAAAACAAAATTTTCAATTCGAACCAGTAGTCTTCAGCTTTTATAATATTAGTATAAATGATAAATTTAATTACTTAGTCACAATATGTTTAAAATTAAATAAAACCTGATAATAGGGTCCGAGTTACTTTACGGAGAGAATTTTTAAACTAGTATAAAAAACTAGACTTAGTGTATATTACGTTTGTAGGAGATTGAAGCATTCTTAATAAATATACCTACTTCAAAGTCATGCCTCAGATTCTTGACCCAGGCAGATGTTGCAAAGTAGACACTTTCAGACATCGTCATCCCAGTGGCCAGGGAACAGGAATAAGCGTTTGGACAAACGATTATAAATTCGCCAGGTCTCTGGACTGTCCGACACAGCGAGACATTCTTCTCTCTCAGCAGATTCGGTGGTATGACCGTTATATCGGATGGAAGCCAGACGGACTTGTTCTGACAGAATGTGGGGCAGAGCGATTCGACAGCGGCGCGGAATTTCTCGCTCTGCTCGTTGTTTATGCCGTACCTGAAAGATGAACAAATACAATTTGAAATTACTGTAAATAAATGTCGACTCTTTAATGATTGACATTGAGCAAACCGAATTGAGCACTGTCTATAGTTTACGCGAGTAGTACTCTTTTAAATAAAACACTTTAACGGTTTAAAACGCGATATATTACTTAAACTTATATGAAAATGATTTAAATTTATTAAACACACATTAATTTATTAAACTTGCTGACCCAACAAACTTTGTTTTGCACATCTATGTTATCTAGAGAATTTCTAGACTAAGGATCTGGCAGTTGAATGAAAAAAGCATTGAGCCCTGTGAACGATAATTGATGAGATGGTCATATTTATTATTATTTATAGACATTGGAAGACGCCTAGGGAGATAATTTACCAAGTAATCCTCCCCTGAAAAAAATTAAATTGACTAGCATATTATTGTCTTTCGTGCTGTTCGGCCGATGTGAGCGAGAAGAGGTTCTCGACGTTTCGCCATCACGTGTGGACGGCATCTTCAGGAGATGTTGACTCCTCGATTGCTCGAAGAATCAATTCTTCGTCGAGAACCTCTTCTCGCTCACATCGGCCGAACAGCCCGAAAGACAATAATATGCTGATCGATGGCCGTGAAAGCCTTACTCAATTTATTAAATTGACTAGTCTTAAACAGGGTGAAAAATTATTAAATTACTAAAATAACAATAAAAAATATGGCGATTATAGAAGGGTAAAAAATTACGGTTGTATGTAATGCCATGTTATACATTAAAATAAAATGAAATTTTGTCAAAAAACCACTATTCACTTAAGAGGTGTGACAAATAAATATGTAGTAACCGATCCTCAGAAGTAATGAATATGCGTATAAAATTTCATAAAAGTAGCTCAAGTCGTATTACCATACTACACCAATACGGCTTGAGTTCACACAAAACTTTTATGTTAGATTTAAAGTAAGTACCCATGAGTTTTTGTATGAATTGGTATGTATAAACAACAAGTCAAAATTCATTTCTTACGTTTGATAGGTAAATATAAAAAGAATCTTACCACACTCTGTCAGCTCCCTCATGCATGTATTCAATCCATGGTAACCCATGCGGATCTCGATGCAAGCAGCTCGTAGAGAAAACCATGCCCAGATGCATGGTTGGTACAGTCATCCCACCGACTGGACCCAGAAAACTCAATATATTATCAGGGTCTTCACTGATTCTCTGTAAATACACAAATATTTATATAAACACAGCCTTAGTCTAGAAATATTGAAAACCTCATTTCAGTCATTATGTAGTATTCTTTCGTCTTTTCATACTTACTATATTTTATTCTTGAAACCAACCTTTAAGTTCCATGGATGCCGGGTATATGAATCCTCTTTATCTCTATTAGGAAATCCAAAGCCTGAGGCACCAGTATCAATAGAAGCTGCATTAACACAGACATGCTCTGCTCCAGATCCAACTACCCTCCAATATGCTAGCTCTATAGCTTCTGTGCTCATAGGCGACGATGCAAAGAAAGCTTTAGAAGCAGTCTCAGCCACCTTTTTAAACATTCCAGTAGTCATAGCTCGACCAGCTACAATACAGTCTTCAGTCTCAGCTAAAGCTTCATATATCTTCCTGTCTTCTATGCACATTGAGTCATCGCTATCTGAAGAATCAGTCTCGGACAACATCGATTTCTGTCTATGTAGAGGACTAGAAGCCCTATTCAGCATCATTTGATTTCTCTTAGCCCACTGATGACCAACCTTATCAACTAATTGACTCCTCTCAAGAGATGACATAGTGTCATACGGAAGTAGATACTTAACGTAAATCTTCTCCAATTTGGGACCTGGATTTTTAACATACTCATAATAATCAAGTTGCTTAGCAATTTTATCCCATTGTTCTGCAGTGATTTTGCTTTTCAATCCACCCATACTTTGAACGATGTCAAATAACTTCGGTAGGTTCACTTCTATTCCGCCGAGTAATGGTGGTCGTTTAAAGGGGACTTTCTCTGGGGCTAGAACCACTTTGATGGTGGCCAACTGTCGTGAGGCCGAACCCCAACGACGAAACATGCGCCCGATGTAATGGTTTGTTGTTCCAAAGCGCATTTCGTTATCAACTTTGCAGGGGGGTTTGAAACCATCTGGCGGAATAATCTTGCATAAACCGAATTTTGACGCTTCTTCTAGCCTACTCTCGATGTATTTGATTGGACACTAAAAGTAGCATAACAATTAGAAAATAGGGCCATCAACATAAAGTGTAAAGCTCAAACATATATTTTTTGTAACTTACCTTAAATTCATCAGGTGTAGGGCGGAAAACTGGTGCCTCTGGTAGGTCTATATTATTTTTAGTTTTTTTTGCTAGAACTTCATCATCACTACTACTACTGGTTGACAATACCCTTTGCCGGTTCCTGGCACTTTGACGTACAGTGGTCTCAATATTTGATTGGCGGCTTCTAGTTGGGATTGTACTGTCTACTTTAGATTGGCGACCTTTACTGGAGCTTACATTGACGACATTTCGATTCTTAGTGATATTTTCAGCAATTGTTTGACGATTTTTACCCATAGTTTGATTTTCAGTATTGGATGGTCGATTTCTGGTAGTGGCACTATTTTCGACTGGCACTACATTCGACTGGCGTCTCCTACTTGGTGCCTCAACATTTACTTGGCGGGCTCTACTGGTAGCTCCATTTTCTACATTTGTATGGCGGGTCCTACTAGGAGGACCATTTTCCGAATTTGACTGACGACTTTTACTAGCAGCCAAGTCAGCATTAGCTTGACGGCTTCGTGTAGACGTAACATTTGAAACATCCGATTGGCGGCTTTTACTGGGAGCTACATTCTCGACATCAGACGCCCTTTTCTTAGGCGCTACATTTTCCAAATTTGACTGACGTGTTTTAGAGGTCACATTTTCTACACTCGTTGTTTTAACTTCATTCTTATTGTTAACGGCGGTGTTATTCATTAGAAGTTTCTTGCCTTTGTCATTAAAAATGTCACCATTGTGGGGAAAATCTTCCATTAAGTCTATGTATGTCAAAATATCTTCAAATCGCTCTCCGTTAGGGAACAGACTGCTTAAATCAATTTTGCCTTCTATCCTTTTCAAAATATTACTGACTAATGTTATCTTCTTACATTTTGTGCAACTGTAGCAGCGGTTCTTTAAAACTGTCTCTCTGAATAAGAATATTTGTGGGACTGAATTTATCAAATCTGAAGGACAGGGATTGTTCCTCTTAGACCTTCCATTAGTCCTATGGTCTACAGGCATATCATCATCACCTAGAGAACCTACGGAATGTTAAATTAAGAAAATAAAAATAATAATAATTGCCTATATATATATACTTTAAAATATTTCTCAAATGCCAAACAATACTTTTTACTCAAAAACTAGTACATAGTATAGTATAATTAATTAACATACATTTATAAGATGCTATATTTATTCCATAATAGTTATCCAGAAAGATATAATTTACTCACTTGAATTTCTTGTTCTTTTACTTGAAACTGGACCTGAAAAATGACCATGTTTTATTATTATTAACCAAGTTTTACATAAAATCTGATGTGAAATGAAATCCTTTACTAATTCTAGACTATGAATGGCTTAACACATAGAGTGTAAGAAGTTTAACATACCTGTATCCACCTGATCAACTGGAACCTGAAGACGCTTTAGCCTCACGACAGGCTGTATATGTTGATGCATAGCTATTTTAAAAATTTAAATATTAAACTTCAAAAACGTTAAATCTTTATCACTGATTTAAATAAAAAACTTTAAAGGTTTAATACGCAATATATTAGTTAAACTTATTTGAAAATGATTTTTAACTTCGGCCCAACATTTCAGATGCTTTGCAGCGGCCGTGGTCACAGGAGACTGTTAGTTAAAAATCATTTTCAAATAGGTCTAAACTAATATATCGTATTACACCATTAAAATGTTTTATTTAAATGTGTTCTACTTGCGTACACTATAGGCAGTATTCTCTATCACTGAGTTAGGTGATTGGCTAATTCTTTCTACTGATCACGCCCCATCATTCCACATCATCATTCTAATCAGTGTTCCCAATACAATATACCAGTGCCACAATTTGTAGAAAATTTTGTGATACTTCTGTATACATAAACAAAATTAGAGTTTCCCTAGGTTAACTGTGATTTAAACAGTTCCCACAGCTGGGGGTTAGATTTCCTACATAGGTAAATTGTCTACAACAGTCCAAATATCCTTTAGCACCTTGTTACTTAGATATAGTTTCTTGACACCATATCTTACATATTTAGTTTCCTTGTACTATTTATTGTGCCATATTTTGGTGTGTAATAAGTTGGATGGAATCTACCAATTAAACATGTACACTTGTAATATATGAGAACATACCTTCAAATGACACCACATCTAACATGGAACGTGTGGATGAATGAACCGCGAACACATTGGTGTCTTCTGGTGGTGTATCAGATATTCTGTCTATGTTGCTTTCTCTAGGGTGTTGTCGGCTATTGGGAGCTGTTGTCCCCATAGCAAACTTTCTTTGTGCTTGTACTCTTCTCCTGTAAGATTTCATAGTAACAAATCGAGATTATTTTTCACAGTATATAATCACTTTAACAAAAATGAGTCTAAAGTTGTTAACAAAATAATGAAATTCATAAAGCATGATTTAATAAAGTTATTACATTGTCGTAAACAAAAAATGACGCCGGCCAGTAACGACTTCAAGTTCGGAATCGTGACGCTATCCTAATACGATACTGGATACTAAATATTATTCCAGACTCCCGTTTAGTATATTTTTAATCGTCATAATCGTTTATAATATAATAAATACATACCTCATAATGATGTTTTTCAAACAAATTTCTTAAAAAATAAATCATGCATAAAACTAGGAACGTGAAAACGTTATCGATTATGGAAATAATCGATGAAAATCGAGTTTTTAAATGTAACAATCGATTTTTATATATATCTATAAATAATTCTATTTTTATCATTTATTTAACCATAAATGATAAAAATAGTCCGACAGTTCCGGGATGTTCAGAAATCTACATTCTGAAACCGAAGCGCGATTACACTCTACGGCTTTAGACGGTGGTTTCTAAGCGAAACGAAATCTTGATATTCTTCTCATCCATCTGATATTTCTTACTTATCATACATATTAAAAAATGATAAAAGAAATTATATGTTCAACTTGGTCGGATTGCCCACCCACGATTCCATGATTATTATTTAGATAATATTGGATGAACGAGTCTGATTTTTAAATTTTTATTAGTTAACTAGCTGTGCCCGCGACTTCGTTCACGTGGAATAGTGAGTTAGAGCGAGAGTTTTTAATTATTTAGGCTGTTTATTAATTTATGTAATTGCTCATTTATCGCAGCCAATCTATGTTGTAAGTGCTACTTTGCCGCAACACTCTTACCTCACATCAAACCTACTCTAACTCCCACTCTCATTCCCACCCCCACTCCCACTTCTATTCCCAAAAAGCCCAAGAAGAAAGTTTCATTGTTCTAGCTTCAAAAACCACCAATTTCCATACAAACTTTCATCCTCGCTTTTAACCCCTTAAAACCCCCTTTTTGCAATAAAAAGATATAATATTAGCCTATGTTCTTTCTCAGGGTCTAAACCATCTGTGTACCAAATTTAATTCAAATCCGTTCGGTAGTTTTGGCGTGAAAGAGTAACAGACAGACAGACAGACAGAGTTATTCTTGCATATATAATATTACTAAGGATAAATATGTTGATACGATTGTTACGGGGCTACTTATGAAATTAATTTGCGAATTATAAAACCATGCTCAAAACCATTCCGATTAATAATAACATAAATCGTTTTCTTTAAGTCACATCCCTTAACAAAACATATGACAACTAAAACTTTAAATTACGAATTTGGTCATAGATTATCATTGTAATATAGAGCCGATGTCATGCCACAGATATCATTCGCGATTATTAATCGTTGGGTTACTGGGTTCTCGTTTCTTTAGTCAGGGAGGTAGGATTCAAGCTTATTCTTTATGGCTTCTAGCATTATAGTGGGAGGCTTGGCTTAAAGGTCTCGTTACCAGGCCATTAAATATTATTAAAAAAAAAAAAATATAGTGGGAGGCACCAGAACCATTCGGAAACCACCAAGTTATTAATAAATTTATAAGTAAAATGGTATTTGTTATAAATTATAGTTAAAGACAACCTACTTACTCAGTTTTTTTTGGTTTTTACTGGACCTAGAATGCTTAGGAGTAATACCCACGCTTACAGATGTCAGATTTTTTTAATAAATTGGTGACAGCTTGAAGGAAATAAAATACGATAGTCATTCAAATAAAACAACATTATTAAATATTTTCACCCAACTTTTATTATACATAGTTTACAAAAGATTTATCTATCACAGGCTAACATGTTAATAATAATAAGAATGAAGAAGGTTAAGATAATTCACTGCAATATCTATTATCATCATTAATAAAACTTACAAACATAGAATCATTACTGGTGAAGACAAAATCGAAAAGATTCGCTAACTTAAAAGTTCTAGGGCGAACAGAAAAATAAAAAAGTAATTAAACCTAAAAGTATTATTTTGGTAAAAAAGAGAATTAGCTTAAGTAAATATTATGAGAGATTGTCCACCTCTAGTCACGATAACTCTGAAAAAGAAAAGAAAAAATATATATTGTAATTAAATTATTCATATTGTTGAACGCCATTTTATGGTGCGTTTTATCGATATTTGTACAGAATTGCCTCTCCATTAATTACCCTAATATCAGAAAGAGACAAATAACTTACACTCAGTGCTTGCCCTTGTACATCTTAACGAAGGCGGCGTCCGAGCCCGAGCAAAGACCAATCTTCTGGCAAATGCTCTTGGAACCCATATCTTCGATCAGGTGGATGATGCTGTCACCATAGATCTCTAACATGACGTGGCACTGCATATACAAAATTACTTTCTAAATTTATGGTTTAGTAAATACCTTTTTAGTTTAAAGAAAGTTGTGATGGCTGGAGGTCATCAGGTTTGAATCCCGGTTTGAAAAGTTATTACGGGTTTAGATTTTTTTGTAAAAAAGTCTAGTAAGAGGTATGGTAATCTGAACTACGTCCTCCACGAGAGAAGAGACCAGAGGGAATCGTTAGGTAGGCAAGATGGAAGGTAAAGTTATACCCACCCTGTCATAGTATTTAGCTGGCAACATGTTGCACGATTTTTCGACAATGTGGACGATGTTATGGTCAACTTTGTCGTTGTGGAGAACTTTCTTGACAGCCATTACAACAGTTTCACATACTGCACAGTCGAGGATTTCCTCTGGAAATGTTATAAGTATTGAATATTAGACCAAAATATTTCCTATTACTAAATTATAATTATTGTTAATGGCTAGATGAAGGAATAAATACAGCATACTCTTCTTATTTAACTATTTTTTTTGACGGGTTCGTTGGTATAATATATTATTAATAATCAACCGGTCGTGGGTTCAGTCCCCATCAGATCCAGCCTGTTTCTATTCTATTAAAAAAAAATTTGAAACATGTTGGACTTTGTCTGGAAATGTGAATATTAAATGAGTTACAGGAATTTCAAAATTCAGTCCGGGTCGTGCTTGTCAGCCCTTCAGTATCATGAAAAATCTATAAGTGCATATTTAGGAGAGAGAAATCCTTGTCACAAGCCGGTCTGTTGAATATGTGACTATTGAAATTTTAGATTATAGTACTCAAATTATTTGCTCTTTTCATCATACATAAATTTAGAATTAACTTACTTTTGACAGCATCCATAGCGGTTGGGTCGCACAGTTTGAGTTCGCGGCAAACCTCATCCGCGTCCAACTCCTGGGCCAAGAGGCTGATCACGAGGTCAGCGTACTTCTCGACAAACTGGTCGCACTCCGGACGTACAGACTTAGGCATATGTTTGCATACGCCATGCACAATCTTTTTGATTTCATCCTGGAGAACGAATTTTACATTTTATTTATGTGCTAATAATTTTACGTTGAACAAATAAAATTAATACAAGGCCTTGAAAGTATAGAAAAAGTTATAAGATACAAAATTTGTATATAAGCGTATCTATATATCAATAAACAAGTAAACCAAGTGAGTGAAAATTTTGGTATGATGCCACAAATATCAAAGTTTTTAAACTTACATCATTATGTTTATCCTTGATCTGATCGTCAATCTCCTTGAGGACAAACTCGCAGACGACGCATACCGTCTTCTGCTTTGAGAAGGAAACTGGCCGACCGTTCGCTGTGTGGTCAGGAATTTCATTCGTTGCTGCAAAGATGAATTTACGAAAATTAAAAACAATGTTGCAGTACTTTTTTATTGTATAATTTTTTTATAACAATACTGTAAAATATGTGAAAAAGATTATTAATACATCTCTTGTAAAGCAATCGCAGCCATCTTGTGGCCTGTAACAACAAGATGGCCGCCATGTATATCTGCGGTTATTATTATTATATTAGTTTTACTATGAAGTCACTAAATTGAAATGAATAAATGTAATTGTCTTATTTTTTTGTAAACCGATTCAATTAAAATGTATATTATATGTGCATTTTAAACCTTTTTTTTCTTACAACCAGATTGCATTAATATTGCTATAGGAATTACATTTAGGAATGCAATATTTAGTTATTATAAAAGGTAGAAATAACAGCATGCAGCGCTATGATTGTGGGTTTAATGTCGTTCAAATCATCATCATTTTTTAATCTAGAAAAAATAGTTAAAAATACCTATATCTCCACCGGCTTCAGCTTCCAACATGTATTTTGGCAACATGGGCCGCTTCACATTATTCCTATCTCCCCTTAGTGCTGGCTTCTCGTGGTATTTGTCGATGGAGGCGTGGGTTATTTTCAATGGATCGGTAGGTGTGACGTCATCTTTGCACAACTTCAGGTAGACGCATATCTCTTGGGCGTTGAGGTCAGCTAGGAGCATCTCGACCAACTGCTTGGAGTATGCTTCAACGAAATCGACGCATTGCGTGCGCAGTTTCGCCGATAGATGGTTGCAAAGGCTGTCTAGGGCTTTTTCGATGCTGGCCTGTTATGAAAAAGACATAGAAAATATTCACAGATCTGTTCATTAAACTTGTCTCTAAGCAAATATAGAATACATAATAAAATATAAATCAATCTTTTTTCACCCACATATTTTATACGCATTGACAAAGTATCGGTTTGTTTATAAAAGGACTACATACAGAGGACACGATTCTTTTAAAAAAATATTTGTACAATTGTTCATCTATGTGTATGGTGATGGCTCCAAAAGTTGTACTTCCCTTTTTAAAAGTCTAATGTTATTTGAATATTGTTCATGAGACTAGAACTGTTAGTTAACTTATTTTAACCACGACCCTACGTTTAATGCTTTGTCGAAGTTGTAGTGGGGTCCTCAAAAGTAAAATTTCATGTTTAGTGTAGAGAAACTATCAAGAAAACAGATGGCGCTAGTCTAACAGGATAATATTATTTATATAGTTTCCTCGTTCACTACTACTTACAGAGATTTGAATGAATAAGTTTATAAGAAGTTGGAGTTAACGCGCTGATAAATTTATAGTTTTAAGAATTGTGAACCAAAAATATTAAAAGGATTTACTCTGTATGTATTGTAAAGGTGAATACCTCAGTCCGGTTATCCTTCAGCATTATTTCAAGTTGTTCAACAGCGAAGAGGCACAATGGACAGTTGGACTTTTCCGAGTTAATGTCGACCCGATGGACTTCCTTGGTCGACACGCACAAATTCAGAGCTGGACAAACCTAAATTAAAAACATAATTAGTAATATCTCTCTGAAATTAATGTAAACATTTAATAGCCAAATATGTATATTTCCAAGTATGTTACTAGGGTATTTTTTGTATTCTGTTGTTCCAAATCTGAGATGATTACACATGTGACATTTGAAAACTATATTTTTTTACATGTTACTGCACAGTTGGTATTATATAAATTAAACCTCTATTTAGATTTTAAAAAATGCGACACGGGCTGGACTTGAAGCCGCATCTACAGAGTTTTGGGCTGCTGCTCTAACAAATTGAGCTACCATATCAGAGCACGGAAACCTGGTGAATGTCGGTTCAAGTCCCGCTCGTGTCGTATTTTTTCAATCTTAATAGATGTTATTTAAAAATGTAATAGTAATTAATCTAATTTTATAATGTTTTGAGTGACCATTGAAATTTCATATGTTAAGAAAAATATATGGTTAAAACTACAAAATTTCAAACGGTATGTAATAAAAGGACGCGTTTATGATACTAAAACTGATCTGAAATATTTCGTCTAGTTGATAACTTACACTAGCCGGGTCAATCTCCTGTACGAGAAGTGCAATGACAGCTGGTCCGTACTCAGTAACAAATTGGCGACACTCAGAGTTAATAGACTGTGGGAGAACGTCGCAGGCCCCCTCCACTGCTTTCTTTATTGCTTCCTGTGAATGTTATAATCAATTAGATTAAACTGACGTTCATTTCTAGATATCAAATTAAACTGGTTGTAATGCACATTTCAAATTCCTTTATAGTAATGCAGCAATGCGACTTTTCAAGTTGATGTTAAGCGTTTTAATCAGTTTAAGTTTTATTGATTAGAAGCTGCTGATATCTCCTACTACTTTGATTTTGGTTGTCGCAAAATCCCAATTTTACGCGTACGAAGTCATAGGCACCGCTAATGTTAATATGCTAGAAAAATTAAATATTTCTTTTACATGCTAGCAGACTCCACTATGGACCCAACTAACCTCAGTGTTGTCATCGCTCAATTCAACTTGCAGGTAATGTAAGAAGTACTGGCAGAAAGAGCAGATCGCGTCGTTCTGCGGCAGTCCCACGCCCACGAACATCCTTTCAATCGGTAGTGGTGGCACGGTGGATTCGGTTCCCATTATTTTGACGTTCACTTGTTTGTTTTGGACGGGTACATGTGCTATCTGTAAACATAAATGTTGATTAAAATATAAACGGGATCATTAAATAAATCTCCTTTACATCTCATACAGTATCAATGTAATTATCGCATTGAACATTTGAAATAACAATGCTTAATAGTTTTTCAAACTAGTAATCTATATCCTCTTGAATTTGTTAGTAATAGATCGGACATGAAAAATATCAGACCTATTTATTTAAATAAAACTATTTTAACGGTTTCAAACGCGAAATATATTATTATTTGAAAATTATTTCAACTATGGCCCGACGTATCAGATGCTTTAAAGCAGCCGTGGCCCCGTCTAACCTCTATACTTCGAGTTTTGAACCCTTAAAGTGTTTTATTTAAATGTGTACTACTCGGGTAAACTACAGGCAGTATTTATCTAACTTACGCCCCAGAAATTTATTTGGGTTCACTAAAGCATTTTAATAGCTCGACTTACCTTAGGAGTAGTGTAACTATTAGCTTCGTCTTCACCAATCAATTTGTCATCCAAAAACGTGAAGGCTCTGACGCCCATTTCCTTGGGCAACAGTGGGGCAATTGGCACATCAGCTGGCTTGCCACAAATCCCGATGAAGCTGCAAATCTTGTCTTCCTTCAGTTCAGACACGAGGAAGTAGTAAATGGTGGAGTGGTACTGTTCCACCAGTTGGAGGCACTCGGTCTTGAATTTGCCGGTACGTTTGCAGAGACCTGCAAGGGTGAGAAATTTATCACAGACATATGCTTACATACAGTGCGTAGTTTACGCGACAAGTACACATTTAACGAAAACATTAACGGATTAAAATGCAAAATATTACTTAAACGTGTTTAAAGTTTATTTTTAACTTTATTTTGCGTTTTAAACCGTTAGTGTTTTATTTCAATATTTTAACATTTCACATATTAGAGGAATTCATAACCAACGTTACATAACCTTACTACGTTACCTTTTTTTGTTTCAAAGCCTAGTCTTCTTTGACAAGAAGATCTAATCTTCTCCAAACAAAATGGTTATTAATATAAAAGAAGTACCAACATACCTAGCACATCTTCTAGGGTTTTCTCAACGTTAACAATTACGAGTGGATGAACTTAACAGATATTGCGTATATTAACTTCGCTTATAGCTCGAAAACCCAAGCTTTGCAAAATGGCCGTTGGCTTTCAAGCTGGCTTTTAAACAATTGAGCAAATTTTTTTTTTACTATGACTACATAAAAAATCTCAATAACATTAATCTTACCAGTAAGAACCCTGTGGAACTCCACTTCAGTAGTGTTCGCGACGAGAGTGTTGCGCAGGTGTTTGATCACTTGCTCACAGAACTCGCAAGGCACGTCACTACAAAATACCATTGTTTTAATCCGATGTATATGATTTTGCATAATCTTAAAGATTTCATTATGAGAACTAGAGAATACTATCTTTGATTTGATAGCTAATGTAACTTAAAACAATAACGTTTTAAGATAGCGTAGACTTCTAGACTTAGTCTAGTTACTTAGTATTAGTTTTTCAGTTAAGTTCAGTTTAAGTAATATAGCCATAGTAGCAATGTAGGGCTAATTATCAACGGTCGTGGGTTCGATTTATAATTTTCTGACACATGTTGGACTTTGTCTCGAAATCTGGACATTGATTGGGTGGTAGGAATATCGAAATTCCGTCCCGGTCATAAACCATAATCCACAGATTGACGTCCACAAAGAAACCGTCAAGTTTAATCGCGTTTGGGTTTCAGTATGTGGATTAATATCCAAACCCTAAATAGGTCGACCGCGCATTGTGTTTAGTTGTGTCATGTTATATGGTTGGGGTATTCCATCTACCATCAAGTGAACCCAATGCTTGTCTGTTTACGTCTATTATAAAAACTTTAACGGTTTAAAACGCGCTATATATTAGTTTAACGTATTTGAAAATTATTTTTACTACGGCCCGACACGGCCGATGCAAAACGGATGTTTTGCAGCAGCCGTGGTCACGGGGAGGATGTCTGACGTCAAAGTAGAAACTGCTACGCTAGCGCCAATATCTATCAATGTTTATCTCATACTCACTCTGTGGCCTTAACATCCGCTAGGTTATCATCTGTGAAGGTGTAGAGGTCGTGCGAGTGGAACTTGTAAGTGCACTGTCCGCTCAAGTGGCACATGCCCTGCGGCGTGAAATCCTTCTTAACCGCTTCTAGAATATTCTCGTAGTACTGGAAGACTAGCATGGAGCACGAGTCGGAGAGGGAACCGGTGTCACGGCACACCTAAAAAAGATTTTGATAATTTTAAGAATCTATAGTCATGCGCAATACGTCATATTCAGCTACCATGTCGCCATCTATGTACGTAAAGAGTACTAATTTGAAGAGTATTCATACAATACCAAATAACAGTTGAAATTAGTTAATATAAAAAGGAAGTCACAATTTTTATGTCTTATATACTTCTGGATCGAAAAGTGAAAACTTTAAATTCGTTTTCTGATATCTATTTTGTCGACCACTCTATTTTACTAGCTGTAAATTTACCATATGCGAAATAAATTAATATTAAAATCTAATATTGTAACTTTTTTTTTAGTTATTACTTTTATTATTTTAGTCAAAATATACAAAAAATGCATTTTAGTAAGCTAGATAAATATTTATTAAATTTTTAGTATCTATTGTAATAGAGTTTATATTAATTCATAATGTGGGAAAATTTAACCTCTGTAGTTTTTGCGGTGGTCGAGATATAGCCTGATGTCAGGTCTAAGTGGAACCCTAAAAATTACCTGAAGAAGACGGAGTAGGAAATCTTCATAGCTAGTTTCATCGAAGCGTTTCCTCAGCACGCCGATTGTCCTTTTGCAGTTGGTGCAACCGGCACGCAGTTGCATTGTTGCGTTCTGTTTTAAGAAGAAACAAAATGTTTAATTATCCTTTATTTACAACTAAAGACACAAATTTTAACTAAAGAAGTAACTTGTAAAGTTCGGATTTTCTTTTAAATAAAAAATAATAATTGAGACGGAAACCGCGAAATTTATTTATAAAACCTCGTTTGATAATGTATGAGGCTGCTAGAGGCAGAAGGGCCCCATAATAAAAAATATGATTTTCAATAAGGAGGAAAATAAAATGCGCAATTATTTTAGGCGAAAATGATACTGTACTATTATTTGTGTAAAACTTATGTTAACCAGTTTCGGCTACGGTGCTCTTACATTTTTAGACTATGAAAATATAAATAACTCAAGTCATATAATTGCAGTTAGGCTACTCTGCCTCTAGCGGCCTTATATACGAGATGTTATTAAATCTCGGCGGGCGTATCCTGTTTTAAGGTCTTATTACTTTAATTAATCAAAATGAGAAAAAGTGGTTATACTCTACTTACATAGTCCTCAAGAAGGCGATCAATCCTAGCATTATTGCAGAGGCCAGCGACGGAACACACTTGGTCAGGGTTCATCTCTGAAGACAGTGTCTCCACCAGCTCAGGTACGAAGTCATCAGCCAGTTTGATACACTCTTTAGTTACGATTTTAATAGGGATCAGCTTGCATTCGCCTTCGAACACTTCCTTAAGTTCCTCCTAATGGTCAATAAGATAAGTACTTTACAAATATGGTAAAAGGAACAAAACACAAACATCAATCAAACTGGAACAAAACACAAACATCAATCAAACTTTTATATTGTTTTTGTATTGCACATGTCACATACAAATGATTCATATTTTCAAGAAGCCATGCTTCGCTTGATAAAGACGAGTCTGTAACAGCTCACTTGATGAGTAATTACAAGTTATGAGTTTATTAGCCAATCTTAGCAGATATATACATATAGTATATAGATGGTCTCTACCCTGTGAAAGGGTAGGCGAAAAGGGGGCTGTAAGTGGTTAAAAGGTGAAAAGTTGTATGGAAATTCGTAGTTTTTTGAAGCTAAAATAATAAAACTCTCTTCTTTGGCTTTTTGGGAGTGGGAGTGGGAGTGAGTGTACAGAAGTGATGTGAGGTGAGTGTGCGGCAAAATAGCACTGACAACATTTAGATTGGCTGCCGTAAATGCGCCCTTACATAAATTACAAACAAACAAGCCACTATTCCACGCGCCCACAGCTAATAATTTATAAAGTATGTAGTTGTTCTGGGAATAAATTATATTTTCCATATCATTGTCTTTCGGGCTGTTCGGCCGATGTGAGAAGAGGTTCTCGACGTTTCACCATCACGTGTGGATGATATGCTGAGCGATGGCAGTGAAAGCTTTACACAATTTAAATTCATATTTAATAAACATCTACACAAATATGTCTGATATGAACCCCCCCCCCCCCATTCACATTTAAATCTTTATTTAACGTTTTGTATACAACACTCGGCCCTAATGCTATTATTCTCAATATTGGATAAAAATGTGTCATTGTATATTATCGGTCGTCGACTCATGCGACGGCGGCAAGGGTCAAGTAAAAAAAAACAATTGATCATAACAATGCTATAACTCAATCTGCTATTTCAAATTTATTTTGAGAGCTTCATTGTTATACTTGGTAATTTACCCAGATTTGAGGATTTTGAATATTTTAATTGGTTAGTAGCTTACGACTTAGTGAAACGAGGAAATTCATGAGATTGTATACGCATTCTTTTGTTTCTTTTGAAAAATTTAAGTTTAAACTAAAATTTAAGTTAAAACGCGTTGCGTTGCTTTCAGAATTTATAAGAGTGCAAGTTTTGTTTAGTTATAAGTCTTTAAAGAATCAAAATATTGTCTTTCGTTGTTAAGTTCCTTTCTACCCGAGAAATCTGAAAGGTATATAAAACGAAGCTTCGTCAAATTAATCAAAACCTGATGTTGTTACATATTTAAGTACTCATAACATTTTTGTAGTATTTAATATTTTGAACGATGGCACTATATCAGTTAAAAATTGATCGGCCAATCGAGAGAGCAATAGCGCAGAACGCTGTAGATGCCAGTTCAAGTCCTGCCGCTATCGTAATTTTTTCCAATCTAAAATCGATTTTAAACTTTCTACAGACTAAATCATCATGATCATATTAAATAATAACCTGAGTTTCGTTGCTCTGTAGCTGATCGCGTGCCTGCTTGACCATGTCCTTGCAGATCTTGCAGATGCCGTCGTCATCTTGAGGGAAGGTCATGTGAGACCAGACGCGTTGCACGCAGTGGTGCGTGGCCTTGCATTCCCGACCAGTGCTGTAAAAGTTATGGCAATTGAAGGTAGGAAGACTGGTAGTTTACATATGATCATGTGTTTCGTCCGTAAGGGATTTAAATAAAATATTTTAACGGTTTAAAACGCGATTTATAATAGTTAAAGTTTTTGTAAATTATTTTAACTACGGCCCGACGTTTCGGTTGCTTTGTAGCAGCCGTGGCCACCCAGGAGAGTGTCTCTTCGGCTGCTTCATTAAAGTAATTTTCAAATAAGTTTAACTAATATACATCGTATTTTAAAGCGTTAAGGTATCGTGTTGTATTTAAATGTGTACTACTCGCGTAAACTACAGACACTATTTTAGTAGAAGGATCATATTATAGCTTATAGAAAAAATTATCGAGCTACAACTTTGAGATACAGATTTGAAGATCATGCATATAGTCGAATAATTGTCAAGTACTTCAGCAAATAAAAGATAAAAAAAATACAAAAAAGCAATTCGCAAGGGATCAAATGATAAAATTAGCCTACATTATTTTTTATATATATTAATATACAGATTAAAAATGTATTATCTAGTTAATGTAGTTCTTAATTAGGATATTTGCACTAAGGTCCTATTAGTAAAGGGTACATAAACATCTCATTAAAACCTATTCAACGTAGTCATCACTACATCAACATTGCCACGCTAATCAAATCACTTTCTATTATCTTGTTTTCATAACAGCTCCGTTTAAGTCATAATCGAATAAGGTCGATAATGAAGGGAAACAAATCGATTATTTTACAACAAAACTGCGCTTGATTCTCTCGACCTAAATATTATTGCAAACGTCACAGTCTGCGCGCGCGCAACCGTGACTTGTCTTTATGTAATTTAAACACTTTTCCTTGTTATATCGAGGGGAGTTAATGTACGATGATTTGTATGGATGACTTACGAACACACTGTGCGAGAAAAACAAATCATACCCAAATACGGAAGTCAATGTACCGATTTCAGAAATCAAGAGAAAGATACGATGATCAAGAAGGGAATAATTATGATAAATATTGCAAATAATTGCGAAATTTATTTCTAAGTACACGGCAAGTAGCCTATTATATATTTAAACTGAAGTCCCATTCTGTTTATGGAGCATGGGGCGAACACATTTCTGTGTCCATTTCACTGGTCGGATCTTTTACAGGCAAGTAGTTGATCAGACTTCTGTGCTCTGCCTGATCTAAGAAATCTATCGTTTCTCTGGAATTCGAACCCAGAACCTTAACCCAATGCTAGACAACACGTAACCATTGGGATATACAAGCGGTCCTATTATATGTTTGCATTTTATACATCCTTTGTCTATACAATGTACAAGAAAATGTACAGTAAAATAGTCATACAGCGATAACACAAATTGCTAGCAAACTATTATTTTTATGCTTGCATTATCGCTGCTTATTAATATTTCAAGTTGTTAGAATATCTAAAAATTATTCGGTTTAAAATTATACCTGAAGTTGCTGCACCAGTAAGACGGTCCCCAAGTACATTTCTCGCCGCCGACTAATAACGCTGAAAAGTAAATTTGAAATAACTACTCGATACACGAAAGCAGAATGAATCTTTACTTAATACTATTATAACATTTGAAAACTTTATTAATATTAATAAAGTTTTCAAATGTTATACGTTGAACCTTAATACGTAAGTGTTAAGGTTGAAATTACATTGCGCGAGAGGTGGCTGTATTAATAAGTTGAAAAAAATCGACGATGAGGAGGCAACAGCACGGAACGCTGACGATGCCAGTTCAAGTCCTGCCCGAGTCGAAATTTTTTTCAATTTATTTTCGATTTTTCAAAACTATTATAACATATTAATCAAGACTTAGAAGCAATAAGTGACGGTAATTATTAATACTTTATAGTACCTAAATTGAATGATCTTATCAACTTATTAATGTCATGCATCTCTCGCAAGGACAAAAGGGGGTTTCAGAGGCAACTACGTTTTTGGTTTATCGTGCTCTCCGAAGTATCGCTGTGATGACAATAACTACCCAGTTTCGGGATACTAAAATTTTCCTTACTTAGTTCCCAATTGCTGAAGTAAAATTGCGCTGTCCCTAAGATTTGAACTCGGGATCGAATCTATTGTATTCTCTACTCAGTACAACGAGCCAAGTGTAATATCTATATAATTTACACATGAATAATAGAAGACAAAATAAAATAAATGGATGCAAGTTACTAGACTTACGTTTGTGCCCCTTTGGTTCGATTGTCGTCTTTTTCTGAAACATAAACTTCAGCTTATTACCAAGCTCCTTAGTACGAGATCTAATTTCCCTGTAATCGAAGTCTGTCTACACACTCCTATCGCTTAAAATTAAAATAGTGCCGTTTTATTTAGAAAAAAGGCAATTGAAAGAGGATCTTCATAATTTCAAACATGTACTTGGTTTAAATAAAACATTATAACGGTTTAAAACGGCGAAATATATTAGTTAAATTTCACTGGTCACTGGGAGACTTACGACTGCTGCAAAGCGTTGGAAACGTCGGGCCGTAGTTAAAATAATTTTTAAATAACTTTACCTAATATATTTCGCATTATAAACCGATATACTGTTTTTCTGTATGTGTACTACTCTCGTAAACTACAGTATTTAGTTTCGATTCCCGAGACACCAAAAAAAGGCATCGTTCACGCAAAGCATCCCCATGCATTACATATCTGACATGAACATGAAATACCTGCCTGCCTGTTAAAAAAATCACATAGTAAAAAAAGTGCTTGTCAATGAGTAAATGACGTCGAATATGTGACTCACCGTCTTAAAGAAGTTCTCCACCTTTCCGTTCCCACAGATGCCGATGACACGGCACATGGTCTCCGGCGTGGTATCGGACAGCAGCACATGGCTGATGTACTTCTCGAGGTCGGCCGTATTGCTTTTGCAGAGACGCGTGACCGCTGGGTTCGATATGTCACGGCAGGCTGTGTTAATTCTGGCACCCAGGTACTCCTGTATATACGATACACAAATACAGAACAAAATTCTCCAAAATAGGATCTTTTGTCTCTCTTTAATCTGTACTAATATTATAAAGTAAATAATAGTTTGTTTGTTTGGCACTAATCTCAGGAACTGCTGGTTCGAATTGAAAAGTTATTTATGTTTTGCTTAGAGCATTTATCGAGGACGGCTTCGGTTTAGGTTATAAAACATCACGCTGCAACCAAAAGAGCGAAGGAACAGTGGGTAGATAATTAATCATTGAGAGTTTCAAGTTTTCAGAGTTCAAGATACCCAAAGAATATGAAGGGAAGCATGATTCCTCTTAAATTGATCTAGAAGAACGTCAACGACAAGATAAGGAGGTTTGCAAAAACTTTGTGATGAAATTTACTTTCTCTATTTGTACTTAAATTCGTATATGCAAATTTAGAGCGAACAAAATTTGTATGCGATTTAAAATGCTATTCAAAAAATAGTTTGAAGTCTATTGATATCTGATCAATCGAAAAGAATATGAAAAATTAAATTTGTATTAAAACAGCTGTGTAAACAAACCTAACTTGATACATCGCCAAACAACTATATACGTCAATGTTTTGCGCTTCATTACAATAATTCGTAGAAGAGGTGATAATATTGTTTTAGCTTTTGTAGCAGAAATAGCGAATCATTACTTTGTGCAACGCGTTTATAAACGAATACCTACGTCTTTTACGTGACATAGATTAAGTAAGCTTAATCTTAAAGAGATAAATTTATTTTATTAATCTTTCTTCTATGACTCACGCAGCTTTATCTAGAAATCTATAAATAAACTAAGAATGTTTAATTAAGACTGAGTTTAAAATATATCACACAGATCAAGATTTGTTGTGTGATTTTTTTTATATTCCACATTTATATGGTTCATTTAACATTAATTTATGAGGTAAGCTTACTCTATACAAACCATTTATTTAAAGACAAATTGGATTACACTAGAAAGAAAAAGCTCAAGTTATTATGCTTATAGGAGGTAAAGAATGCTTATCATGACATGATAAGATAGCAATTGTTTATCTAACCTCGTTAATGAGGTCCTTAACATCCTTCAACTGCCTAAAGAGTCGTACAATCTTCTCGGACGCTTCGTTGCTGTCGAACGCAGCATTTTCCTGCTCCCATACTGTGCTGATGCAGTGTCCCACTGCACCGCAGTCGGCAGCCGTCCTATTAATGACCGGAGATTAGTAACTCTATAAATATGAAATATAACACAATGGTTGTTAGTCGTAGAGAGATATTATATAGCTGTGGTATACATTATGTGATAATATTAGGGTCAAAGTAATGTGATACTATAAAGAAAATGGTTTTGTTCTGTAATTTCGAATATGAGAACAAAATCGAGTTCAAGCACACAAATCTCTCACTTTATGCTATTAAGCCTAAGTCCAATTGAATGATAAAAGAAAGTACTTACTTCAAACTTTTACACCAATATTCAGGTCCCTTTGAGCATTCTTTAGGAATTTGCCGGGCTGTGGTCAAGCCTGTGAACAAATTATTACACATACAAACTTGTAATTGGCCTTCCTGTACCTATTTATTATATAGCAGCCGTAAGTTTTTTGTAAAAGAATAAAAAAAAAATTGTTTTCATAGAGATAAGATACTTGTTCTCGATATTACATTGCGTTATCAATTCTCCTAATTATGTGTTGAATTACATTTTGATAACAATAATTACATTATGTACATTTAAATAAAATGTTAATTATATTTTTGTAATTTGCATAAAGTATTACTGTAGTCTTTACGCAAATAAACAGAGACCAATACTTATTATAATACTCAATGTTTATTTAAAGAGATAAGGTAATAATCTTTGGTCAGTTCTAGAAATAACAATATTACATTGTTTTCAACTGATCATATATTGAGTAAAATATATTGAGAATGATGAATGTATGTGTATTGACACAAATTATAATAGAATGTTACAACACAAGAGTCTAGAAAAATAATTTTAAGAGAGGAATTACATATAAACACAGGAAGTTGAGTGTAGTAATATGAGCTGCTGACTAACAGTTGAGTCAGATAACTGGATTAAATTACATTAGTAGCAATTACTGGTATGATGTTAACAATAATAGCTATCTTATTTATCACAATAATACTAAATGTCAGTTCAACCAATAAACAAATATTTTGTCTTAGTGTTATTTAAATTAACACCACATTTAAAATTATGTGTTTGCAAAAACGAATATTTTGAAGTTGTTGTAAAACAATACATAATAGTTACATAGTAATCAACCTAAAAATACTAAGCTCTAGACATTTTTATTTGTTTTAAGCAATGTTGCTCTAAAAATGCAGCATAAGGTTTTATATCTGTTGTAATATTTTTCTTCATAAATACAACTTCTTATTTTAAATAGTATAATACAAAAATATTATATCTAACTTGATTAATGTAGCAAAAGTTATAAGTAATGATACCATGTTTAGATTTACATAACAAATACCTGATAAATTTAGCAGAGCTGGAGTATAACCAGTGTATGTTGCATTCTTAATTATTATGTTTCAAACAAGTTAGTAATTTATGGCAAGAAATTTCAAACCAGAACAAGACTACTATTTCCTTATTACATATGAAGAAAATAAATTGAAATTAGAGGGTAGATTTTTTGCCTCAATCGTTATATATAAAAATAAATATGCGCTTATGAAATTAAATTAAATAAAAATTATATGGAATCTAGTTTTAAAGCGCGTACAAAACATATTAATTAGTAATGTTGTAATTGCTCAGTAAAAAAATGAACAAGGACAACAACAGTGATTTACTTAATCTAATTACAACGAAAACATAAAAATCACTCACCCACAAACAAAGATATTGCTAGACAAACTGCAAAAGCGTTTGTCATGGCTAAAGTGGCCCTTTTCTTACACTATTAATTTTCTATCCTTGCGTGAACAAGCAAAAAGTTACTGTTTAATTTTCACTTTGTGTAAAAGTTTTATTGCGTTTTGAATAAAATACTATCGATAAACTGATGTCAAGGTAGAGTCACTAGTCACTTTGACAATTAACTAACTATAGATTGATAGAAATTATAGTTTAGTTTAAAGTTGACAGACAGATTTTTGAAAGTCCTTTTGATATTGCCATATTAAAAAAGCAAGAGAGCTTTAACATTATGTTACACTTATTAATTTTTCTTTGATGCGTTTTATATTTATAAGAATAATTATTCTAGTAATTTTGCATAACAAAAGTAAAAAAATAGAAAAACAGTAATGTGTTCAAACGTGTGTAGTTATCTAATAAGCTACTAGAAGTCATTAAGCTTTCGCTATTTGATACAAGATGGCGTACATACTGTACGCCATTTTAATAATTTATCAAACATTAAATAGTAAATAGTAATTTTATGTAGAAAATGATATTATGAAACCTAAAAAAAATAGGTGGACGTAATTTATAATACGTAAAGACTTATTGAATATTAAATTCCGTCTCTAGAGACTAGAATTGCTAGAAATTCTTGGAGAATTTATTATAACGCACCAAGACGAGTTACCAAAACATTCATTTTAGAATTATTTCCAAGCTATTTTATTAATAATAAAACAATAATGATAAACATTTATCCGCTCATTATATAGTCAACATAGATATTGGTAGTAAAAGACAATAAGTAAAGATAAAACAAAAACAGAATCTAAAGAGAAAATATTTTTTGCGCTACAATTAGGTTTCCCTAAGGAAGGAGCGGGTCGTAATAAAATTAAGAGACGCCCGGGGCTCGGTCGCGGTAAGTCGAAGCCTTCGGGCATAAAACAAATCCGCTCGCTGGCCTCTGGGCGGCGAAAAAGATATGGAGACGCCTCTACATTATTTTCATTGCTACAACCTCTTTTACTGTAGCTTTTATGAATATATATTATGATTTATAAGCGCGCGATTGTTGCATTAAGAATTAGCTAAAGCCAATCTTCAAATACATTTCATATACTTATTATTCCAGAGAATATATCAGTTCTAGAGAAACTAGAAGGACTTGGAGACTATGGTACTATCATAATTTAAGTATATCTTAATAAGTAGTATATGCGAGTAGTACACATTCAAATAAAACACTGAAGCGGTCTAAAACGCGATATATATCAGTGTTTGCCCATAACGACAGTTGCTGCGAACCGTCCAAAACGTCCGCCCGAGGTTAAAAACTGATACCTATCGTGTTTTAAACCGCTAAAGTGTTATAATTAAACATATCTTATTAAGCTATTTTTATATTATTTGTGGTACTTTCAATTGTGTGAATTGGTGAAATATTCTTATCGATATCTGGTTGAAATAATATTTTTTCGGTCGAATGTCGACTCCTCCCAAGCTCACGTACACGGCGTCCATATTCTGAATAACACTTGAATAGCTCGTCCCAAAGCACTGACATCGTTGTTTGTGCTCGTACTACCGCGTGATGTGCTTGTCCCACACTCGGTGTAAATGACTCTTGTATGTTTCTTTACGAAAATAATGTAAGAAATACAGATACATTTTTATAATTCGGATACCTTTAATGTTATTTTTGTTTATGTGTATGCACATTAAATTTACGCTTTGTCGATTGTAGGGGGTTTTATTCAATTCAAGATGACGTAAGATGCTCATAGGTACATAATATATACTATAATGACGTGAGTAGTAAACTTTTAAATAAAACACTTATGTATTTTTTAACTACGGGCGACGACGACGTTCGAGGATGCCTCAAATGTTAAGTCAAATCTGCTATGCTAGCGCCACCTGTTTCATCATAGTTGATTCTTTTTTTTTACATTTAAAATAAAAGCTAAGGTAAGCCTAGTTTTTGAGTCCCTAATTGGATCAGAGTCATCTTAAATAGTGTCTGTTCACGAGTAGTATATATTTAAATAAAACACTAACGGTTTTAACCGCGAATTATATATTTTTTTAATGATAGAGAGGGACAGGTAAACATGGGGTTTATTTAATGGCAGGTAAAATACCCCATCCGTATAGCATCTACACAAGATGCGCGGTCGACCTATTTTGGCTTTAGATATTCGACAAAGTTACATTAGTGAAACTTGTTTACAAATTAATTTTAACTTTCTATGTTATCTTCTCAGTAGTCGAATGGATTTAAGAGATGTCATTGCTGCTACCTGTACATCAATAACTGTTCATGGATTCCCGACCTCTACTCAGCAGCGATCCGCAATAAACTACGAGCGTTGTTCAAGTGTAGCCGCGAAGTTGGCCGCAGTTAGGAAAGATTTGTCGCGTCCGCCGACTAATGCCGCTCTTGTAAGTAAAAATTATGATTATCGCTCGCTTGGAGCTGATCCTTTGATCCCTAACTAACGGTCCGCTCCGAGACGCAAGACTTTCCTTTTCGTCTCAACTATAACTCTTTTTTATTGGCCTCTGGTGCACGGCTGGATTACGGTGGCCTAACTGATCGCGGCAGTGCTCTTCGGCGATAAAATCATCTCAACTCCTGGCCGATATAACTCTGAACTGCCTTAAGTATTCTGGCTTCTATGTAAAATCTATGAATAAGACAGGTTTTGATAGAAGAAAAACCTGTTTTCAGTTCGTGTGGTTTTTGAAAGACTTTCGATGTTAAATATTACTTCTTAAATATAAAGAGATATAGCAACCATTTATAGACATACCTAAAATTAATTTATAAACGTCAGAATATAGTGACGATGTATTATTTATTTCATTCCAGATATATTACGATTAAAATTGTTTAGTAACAAAAAATAAGAGAGAACCATATGTATCTTTAATTATATTTAATCGAGTTTTTTTTATTTATAATTAAAGAGTATATGTAACAGAAACGTAAAAGTAGTTGATTATTAGTAGTAGGGAGAAATGAGTTTCGCCGTCCGTTGAATACGACGATCACTAACACCAGGGATCTTGGAGATGCGTTGCCGATCTTGTACACCAAGTGAAGAAGAAAAAGAAAACCTTCTTGTTGAAGGTCCAAAGACTAGTATATCAACCTCGTAAAAGTTGATATTTCTCGATAGAAGGATGTTTAATAAAATAGATTACTAAGTACAATAATTTTTAAGAAACAAAGTAACCCAATAAATACGCTAAAACTGGATTTACGTTCTGATACTTAACATAATCAAGATGGTGCTCAATACGTTTTCAGGAGTGCAATACAATATTACATAAACGAGTCTCGGAGGGTCGCGAGGCAGCCACGGTCGATTAAGGAAGCAGTGCATCGTTGCCATGGCTACGGCGCCATCTTGCCTCCTCACGAGGCACCCCCACCACTGTAAACAACCCTGTATTGCACTGTAGCACTCGGATGTATTTAAAAGAATCAACTCTATATCGCTTTTAGATGAACCGTGAGTTTCTCTATATTTATTGTATCTAGATTTTTTACAATTTTTAACATACATAAAATATAAAGTCGTGTGATGTATAAGTTCCTTTATTAAGCAAAATGTCAGTAGCTAAATACTTAAATAAGTAAGACAGTTCTCCTAATATCAACTAGATTAATTCAAAGCAAAACTACTAACAAAAAAACGGTTTAATTTTTCCATAGCAAGTCAATTTAGCGCTGTGATTAACATGAACCATGGAAAATTTTATATAATCGAATGTATTATGCCTTATTTACACAGTATATACTCTACATACAGTGTATATCTATCATAATATCATAAAGTTGAAGAGTGTGTTTGTTTGAACGCGCTAATCTCAGGAACTATAAGTTATAAGAGCGAAGAAACAGAGGGAAACGTGGAAAAGCACAGGAAAAGTGTTTAAATGTTTCTTTTGCGTGCGCTGCGAATACGGTTCAAGAACCCAAAAAAACCTATGGAGGAATGATTCTTATGGCAATAGTATATTTTATGAATTGTAAGAACAAACGGAGCTATAATCAATATACCTAAAGGAAGTTGTTTACAAAAATATTAGAAAAAACCAAAGTAACTATACCACGCGGACGAAGTCGCGGGCACAGCTAGTTATTAGATATATACACGCACAGATTGGTATTATCACTTTACAAAAACTAAGTAATCATTAGGTCGTTTTTAATCGACCCGAAAAGTAAAATTAGGTTTTTTCGTCATTAGCCACGTATTGTCCAAATCTTGGCCAACGGATAGCCGCGCCATTAAAAAAAGAACCATTAAAACGTATTCGCACGGAATTTAATGAACGGTGAATGTTCAATTTCACGTGAACGGCCGCAAAGATAAATGGAAGCCATTATTCAAGATTAGGGCTTCCTCAGTACTTAGCTATTGCGGAACCAATTGAATACTCTTCAACTTTGATTTACTTTAATGATTCCGTTTAATTGCCTGTATCAATTACTAATTTAATAGCCACGCCTCAATCGGAGCGTTAGTACAATTATCCTCGTTTGAAAATTAAAAATAAACGAACCTCGGTATTAAACACGAAAAATCTTTTGCAAGATTTTCATTGTAGGTAGGTAATATGTGCTATGTTCGACCGTGTTTTGTTTTTTAATGCGCGGAAAGAATAAATAGCTTCCGTCTAGTACCATACCTAGTCAGATACCATGGTCAAATAACAAAGATTTTTTTACGACAACGTATTTCCTTAAAAAACGAGACGAAGTTACAATAATTATTATTTACTAATTTATGGGACAATTGTCGTGTTTCTTTAAAAAAAATCTCATTTCCCTTTGTGGGGTATGGGGCAAAGACATTTCTGAGTCCGTTTCAATCTTCGCTTCTTTTGCAATTGATCAGACTATGCCCTGCCCAACCGAAACAATTTCTTGTTTCCCCGGGAACCCAGGATCTCTAGCGCTTATCTCAATGCTGCTTACAAGCAAGTATTTCTTTACAAAGCGGAAGTAAATTACTTACAATTAGAATAAAACACTGTAACGGCTCAAAACGCGATATATATTAATTAAACTTATTTGAATTATTACTACGTCCCGACGTTTTAGATGCTTTGCAGTAGTAGTGGTAGCTAGTCTTGTTTCTTACATACATAAAAAGCTACTAGCCGCGTCAGCGACTTCGTCCGGGCAGAATAATTATTTTGGGCAACCAAATTTGTTTTTGCAAAACTTTATAAATTTAAAAATAAAACACTTTAACGGTTTAAAACGCGATATATTAGTTAAACTTATTTAGAAATGATTTTTAACTTCGGCCCGACGTTTCGGATGCTTTGCAGCAGCCGTGGTCACGGGGAGGTCTCCCCGTGCCCACGGCTGTTAAAAATCATTTCTAAATAAGTTTAACTAATATATCGCGTTTTAAACCGTTAAAATGTTTTATTTAAATGTGTACTACTCGCGTAAACTACAGACAGTATTAAACTTTATAAAGTTAAGCTACTATCCGACGACCCGGCGACGTCGGTCGCTTCCTGTCATTTTTGCAAGTTAATCTTAAAAGATAGACATATAGTATAGCGTCTCGAACATTTTTTTAGACACTTTAAAGAGAAATCATTCTTTCGTACATATTTTTTTTAGGTATCGGAAGTGGTTCCGCAGCGTACGGATCGGAAACCCACAAAAATTAATAATTTTCCCCGTTCTTTCCACATTTTCCGCAGTTTCTTTGCTCCTATTAGTCACATCGCGATGATTTATGGAATTTTTCAATTCTTACCAGTATTTCCTCATAATAGCGCGTTCAAACACACAAATTTTTATAATATTTAGCTTTATACATATATTAATATAGATTAATTGGAAAGTAACTAGTCTTATTTCTTACATAAAGCTATATCGTATTTCTCGGCGCGAAATTCAGAAATGACTTATAAATAATGTATTATATGTTTATTAAGATACGGGAGACCTTCGCTTCGTGCGCTAATTCCCATTAAGTTTATATTATTAAGAGCAGGCAATCTGTACCGTTTTAATGTATAACGCGGAATTATAACGGCGCCCTCGCTTACTTCCTATGATTTATTCATGAGGTGGAGCAATGTTAAAATTGAACATGCTGGTACCTCGCCGTTCTATGAAACAAGCGATTTCCACTAATTTGTTTTCTCTAGAGATTTATTGGCTAAAATATCGCGTCAATTAAGTTCGTCTTGCAAAAGACTAATGAACCGCTAACCACGTTGTGTGAGTTACGTAATTTTAGCAGAAGAAAATTTTGAAGGATCGTTAGGATAATTAAATTAAACACTATGTATATAATTTAAAAATTGGAAATATTTTCAATTTATTTTCGATATTTAAATTATATAGTGCCTTCATGTGCAAAACATGTAAAAAATAATAAAGTTTTCAGTCAGATTCTCGTTTTAGTTTATCTCGCTTAGCGTATACGTAGAACGTGGTTTAAATGGCCAAAATATCTTTTTTATTTAAAAGCTAAATAAACAATTGAAGTAATTTGGACACAATTTAAAAACCCCACAATATATTTTATGCTCATCAACATATGATATGTTCATTGAAATAAAACACTACACCACACCACAGCTGCTGCAAAGCATCCAAAACGTCGGGCCATAGTCAAAATAATTTTCAAATAACTTTAACTAATATATATCGCGTTTGAAACCGTTAAAGTGTTTTATTTCAATGAACATATCATATGTTGATGAGCATACAATATATTGTGGGGTTTTTAAATTGTGTCCAAATTACTTCAATTGATTATTTAGCTTTTAAATAAAAAGATGTTTTGGCCATTTAAACCTCGCTATACGTATACGCTAAGCGAGATAAACTAAAACGAGAATCTGAATACAATTTAAAACATGTCCGCATTTCAGACATAAATTTAAAACGGTATCCACTGCAATATTCTCGCGAAGTTAGTTTCGCATCCGGCGAGAGAGAATTTATATACAAATATTTCTAAGGGAAAACTTGTTTGAAGTCGAACAAAGCCAATCCGCGGTTATCCGTGATATTTCCGAATACCCGTCGGTAAACAGAGCGACACAATACAGTGCGAATCGAAATTCGACGTATAGATAATTTCGTATCGGAATAAGGCGGGAGGGAAAAAATATAAATTGAATAGTCGAATACACGCATCCCGGCATTACCATAAAGGCAACAGGGATCAACTGGGATTCCTCTACGAACTTTTTTATTTTCCTTCCACCTCTAAATCTCGCAAGAAAGCTTCGCGAATCTGCAAATGTTGATTTGATGATGTCGTGTCGCCGTTCTGTGTGAGAACGCCGCCTAATATGATTAGGTCGTTTAATGCTTTTATTTCTACATACATGGTATCACAATTAATTTTGTTATACGTAAAATACATACTTTAAGCAATACACTATAGTAATATAGTAATTAAGAGTACTGGAAGCATTTGTTTATTGCATGACTAGCTTCGGTAGCTAATAATATCAACTTTTCAAATAATAACAACCAAATATTAAGATGGTAATAAAATTGTACATATATATATATCGGCGCAAATATTGAAAATTAATCAGGAAAATCTATTTCGAGTTTCATTATCACTATGGACTAACAACTCCAAATAGGCAACTATATTGAGGAAAGTTATGACGTCAGCACTGCTGACGTCACTAATTATAAAAACAGTTTCAGGATCACCTTCTTCGTCATATATAATTAATATTTAAAATGTATATTAGTTTTGTATACTATTTTATGATTCTAAAAACTACATATTAATATGTTAGAGGAAACCATAAGACAGTTTTGTAAAGATCCAACTAGTTTCTGAAAATACTACAGGTACAGGAAAACAGATGGCGCTAGCAGATTTGACTGATGTTACATATGGCATCTTACCGTGGCCATGGTTGCTGAAAATCCAAAATGTAGGCGCTCTGAAAATAAATAAATAATAACAATTTTTTATTTTAAAAGTTTCAACTATATATTCCATGAAATCATGAATATTGGCATTATTAAATAAATATAAGTAAGTCTTTTAAATAAAACACTGTAACGGTTTGAAACGCGATATATTAATCTGATCGGCCAGTTTTTACTTTGACGTCAGAGACATCCTCCATCTTTAGTCTCCCCGTGACCACGGCTGCTGCAAAGCATCGAAAATACCATGCCGTAGTTAAAAATGATTTTCAAACATGTTAAACTAAAATATATAGCGTTTTAAACCGTATAACGGTTTTTAATTTAAATGTTTACTACTCGCGTATACTACAGACAATATGTAGTGAGTCTGATACTTAATTTATTTTTTATATCTTTTTGATCAAGTCATTACCCTAGATGAC